TCAGGAGCCCTTAGTTCTCTTCCATTATTCAGTTTCCCCGTGTCTACCTGTTGGTTGGACTGAGTGCAGTCAACAAACCCCTGTTTTCTCTTCTGTCTGCTGCCTTCTTTTCAGAGCTTCACACACTGTGGCAGAATGAGGAACGGGCAGCTATTTCCTCGGGGAAACTCAATGAGATCTGGCACAGAAGACATGACTATTGGCTTCTGGCTGGGATTGTCCTGTATCCTTTGATATACATGCAAGAAGAAAAAGGTTCTCTCAAGCTGGAAAAAAAGAGGATGATGATGTCACACTCAGGGACAGGGGCTAGTGCAACACTTTGGGGAGTCAGGTGGAAAGGAAGAAGTGTGCAAAGCTAAGCCCATTCCTGTTAAATTCCTTGATGGTTCCCTTTCCTTCCTTGGTAGCCATGGCTATGCACGGTGGCAGGACATCCAGAATGATGCTCAATTTGCCATTATCAATGAGCCATTTAAAACTGAAGCCAATAAGGGGAACTTTCTGGAGATGAAAAATAAGTTCCTGGCCCGGAGGTTCAAGGTGGGAATGAGGGAGGAAAGGAACGGGTTATAGAGGGCCTTGGGTCAGAAGTGAGATCAGATCTAGCTGGAACCTAGAGAAGGTTAACACCTTCAGGGCTGAGGTAATGCTTGGGGCCAAGACCAAAGTGTAACTTTGTGCTTGGGAGTGTGGTCTGGGTCAGGGTTGATGCTAAGTTTGCAGCTGGGAATGCTCTGGGCCAGCAGTGAGGGCCGGGTGGGTCTCCTGCTGTGTCTGGTCCCACCATTCCCCATTCACCCACTACTGGCAGAGCCCTGGCGTCACCTCCCAACCCTGTGCCCTCAGCTCCTGGAGCAGGCGCTGGTGATTGAGGAGCAGCTGCGGCGGGCGGCCTACCTGAACCTGTCGCAGGAGCCGGCGCACCCCGCCATGGCCCTCCACGCCCGCTTCGCCGAGGCCGAGTGCCTGGCCGAGAGCCACCAGCACCTCTCCAAGGAGTCGCTGGCGGGGAACAAGCCGGCCAACGCCGTCCTGCACAAGGGTAAGGGCCGCGGCGGCCCCGCGCGGGGGAGGGCCCACAACGCTGCGTAAGTCTTCACCCCGCACCCCTCAAAATCTTCCCAACCCTCTGACCCCTCTACCCTCTGAACCGCCCCCCTCTGACCTCTAACCCCACCCCTGCCCACCTGGCACTGCCTTGGATTTTAGCCTCTAGGACTTGTGCAAGCCAGCCCTCATCCATGCCTGATAGCATTGACATCTGTGCTCCATAGAGGGACCTGCCCCAAACTCCATGTCCCCTCCATACAATGGGGCCTCTTCATTGGCGGTAGAACCGCATGCCTGCCATACTGCTAACGTCATCCAGTTAGGGGCCTTGGCCTGTATATGCACCATACAAACCCTTGGTTCTGATCAAACAAATCACATTCCCTCACATCTCTTTCACCCCATGTGGCAGACACTACCACCCATCTGACCCTATCCGAGGAAGCTTCCCTTTGACCTTCGACCTTTCTTCCTACCACCTCTTACCCTGCCAGTGATAGAGATTATGTCCCAAAGCCCTCTAACCATCCAATCCTGCGTGATGTGGTGACTGACTCCTGGCCCCTTTGATCCCTGTTCTAATTCCTCGAATCTGTAATACTGACCTTCTAACCTCCCTCTCCCCTTACATATGAAAACCTTGATTCCTTAAAGCTTTGACACCACTCACCACCTCCCATGCCTCCTGACTATTTCCTCCCCATCATCCCCAACCCCAAACCTTGCTCTTCTAGTATGAGATGTTCTGACAACTCCCCGCCTCCATGTCTTCCAATGTCCCCCCCATCCTCCTTTTCTCCATACTCCCTTTTTCTTTCTTCTTTCTTTCCATTTGTCTTCTGTGGTCATCTGTTCTGTCTCTCTTCCTGATGCTTTTTCTTCTCCCCTGAGTTGCTTCCGTTTTCTACTTGTTTTACTTCCTTGATTTCTGGTTCTTTGACATCTGTATCCTCCTCTCTTGCTCTTTTTCTGCCTGTCTGTCCATCTGATGCCTCTTTTCCTGGCTCCATCTCTCTATTTCCCTGTCTTTCTCTTCCCCTTCTTTCTCTGCGGCCCGGGCCCCAGTTCTGAACCAGCTGGAGGAGTTGCTGAGCGACATGAAGGCGGATGTGACCCGCCTGCCAGCCACGCTGTCGCGAATACCCCCCATCGCAGCCCGCCTTCAGATGTCCGAGCGCAGCATCCTCAGCCGGCTGGCCAGCAAGGGCACGGAGCCTCACCCCACACCGGTAACCCTCTTTACCCCTAACTCCAGTTTTCCCTGTTTGTGTTCCTCCTGCACACATACAAACACTTCCATCAGAATCCTATACAATATGGAGAAATAACTTCCTAGAACACAGTCGTCACCCTTGAGTGAGTCTCCCTGTCTGTGTGTCCTACCCTCAGTAGTTGTAGAGTGTGCTTGATAATGTCTCTCCTGTAGTTTCTTTCCTCTCACAAACTATGAACTAACTCCAACTTCTGCTTACTCTGTTCCAGGCCTTCCCCCCGGGTCCCTACGCTACACCTCCGGGGTACGGGGCGGCCTTCAGCGCCGCACCCGTAGGGGCCTTGGCCGCCGCAGGCGCCAATTACAGCCAGATGCCAGCAGGGTCCTTCATCACAGGTCAGCTGGTGTTTTCCTACTTCCTGCTACTCACACTCCTCCTTTGCTACATTTTATCTCTGCTTGGCTGCCCTTTAACTCCTCTAGTCCATCTCATTTCCTTGGTGGTGTCTTGTGTTTTATGGGATAGAGTTGTTCTAGGCTGTCCCTCCCATCCCTTTCTTAACCCCTCTTCTATCCCCTTTATCAAAAACCAGAGTTGTAGTAGTTCTGTGGCTTGGTGTCTTCTACCCAAGCCACCTCCTTCCGGGTTCCTTCAAGGGAAAGTGAGTATGAAACCGAGGGGGTATAGTGAGAGTGGGAATGTGTTCAATCATGTGGCACAGAGTGGAATCTCAGGGAAAGGGGTTTGCCCTGGTCTTCCCACCTTTACCTGTGGCAACTGGAAGTGGCAGGAAGTGACCTAGAAGTGAGAATATACCCTTGTCATGAAGTGACGTTTGGAAGTGATGTGGGGATTGAACTTTCCTTACCCGCTTCCCGAACAGCCACCACCAATGGCCCTCCAGTGCTGGTGAAGAAGGAGAAGGAAATGGTGGGGGCATTGGTGTCAGACGGGCTGGATCGGAAGGAGCCCCGAGCCGGGGAGGTGATCTGTATAGACGACTGACTGGATCCCAGGCCTGCCCTTCACCCAGGCCCCGTCCCCGAGGCCGACCCCCAGCTCAAGCACTGGGGCCTGCTGCCAACCCTCCACCTTCCCCACCCCTTGGGCCATCACTGGGCTAGGAACCCCTTTGCCCTTCTCTGCAGCTCCTCTCTTCAAGAAGGGCCCTTTGTCTTTCTCCACTTCCACGCACCTTTCCCACCAAGACTTGAAGACTGTGCTGGTGAGAAGAGGTCTGGGTAGGAGATGGTTCACAGGGTCTTCCGAGTACCTTCATCTCCCACTGCCAAGTATACACAACTTCCCAGTAAATGGTTATGGGGAGGAAAGAGGTGGAGCCTCCCCAGTCGTTTCCCTGCAGTATCAGCTCCATCTCTTGCAGAAGTGGAGGATTAGCCTTGCCTTTAGGAACTTTTGTGGGGAAGACAGCTTTGAAGAGAGGAGGGGGACTTTTTGAGAGGGACGAAAATGAGCCCTGGGAGGGAGGAAGGGAAGAGGAGGGGTGACTGCATGTTACCTTCCCTACCTCTCCCCACATGGAGGGTGGAGCAGTTATGAGGGAGGAAGTCATTTGCTGTTCAGCCTCAGAATAAAGGCGCCGTTCACTGGCTCAGTTACCTCCTGTGTACCGGCATCTTGTGTTGGGAATGTTCCCCCCTCTCTAGGGACCAAGGACCACCCCTACAAAAAGAGTAATGGTTGGGTGATACTCCCTCAAGCCAAAGAGGAGCTCCCCAACCTGTTCTAGGGACCCAGGTAACCTAGAAGGGTGGGAGAGAATACAGTGGGCCAGACATGGGGGAAGCCACCAGCTCTGGGGCTCAGGTTTCTGGAAGACTTTACTACTCTCCCTCCTCAAGGCCTAGATACAGACTACATTAGCAGAGGACCTAGTCAGGGTCTTGGGACCTACCTTGTTGTTGGGACCAGAGCAAAATAGTGGAGGGCAGGCTAGGGAAATGTGGGCACATCCCCCCTCCCAGGAGGGGCCGGGGAGAGTGGCAGTTTGCATGGCGAACCCCCCACTTCCTCTTTGCTGCCCCTTCACCTTGCCACCCCTTTCCCAGTATCTCTTCACACCCACTCCTGGTCTGTCCTGATCCCCTCTTCTGTATCAGGTTTATTGGTTGTACATATAAATTATACTTTCCTTTCTGTGTGCTCTGTTATTTTTTATGGGGGGGAGAGTTTTTGGGGGGAGGGATAAGAAAGGTTGTTGCTTTCTGCCTTTTCTTTTTTAAAAAAAAATTTATGGCTTTTTTCTTTTTTTCATTTTTATCTCTTGGATCATTCACTAAAACTGAGGTTCTTTCAGCCCCAACTATGTGATAGGCTCAGTGTAGAGGAGGGTGAGCGGCAGATACCTATGTGGCCTCAGGCTGACTTCAGAGAGAGTGGGACTTACTGGACAGAAGTGTAGTGGGAGGAGTGCCTAGCAAGATTCGAAACTGCCTTCCAGCCATCCTTCTGATCATCCTTTCCACCTTCAAGTTGCTTAGTTCCCCTAGAGTCAGTAGAGGTCACTACAGCTCCACAGGTTCAGTTCCAGTATGAAGCAAAGGCACACTTTTTTTTTTTTTTTTAAAAGGAGGGTCAGATCTGTCTAGCTTACCGAAGATTTGAACTGCTAAGCACCTCCTGGATGTTTATTGTTCATTAAACAGAGCCTCTCAGAGATTGAGAGAGGCCAGATACTTAGTTCACAAGGTGATTGTATTAAAAAATAAGAGATAAAAGCCAAACAAATATTTATTGAGTACATACTATACATTAACACTGCTGTTGGCCCTGGAGATAAAACAGTCACAAGTCAGCCCTTGCTCCAATGGGGCTTACACTCCAGTGGGGACACCCACAAAGCATGAAAATAAAAGCAGTAAAAATAAAACAGGGCATTATGTTACTGAGGGGTGGGGTAAAAGGCTCTACTACATTGAAGGCAGAAAAAGGCCTCTCAGAAGAGGGAGCATTAAGCTGAGACATAAGAACAGGAAAATGCCAAAACAGGGTTACAAAAATTGAGGTTTATACCCCATAAATATATACAAGTATGATTGGTCAATAAAAAGCAATATTTGTATTTTTAAAAGTTTGGAGACCCCTAAAAAAATTGAAGTTAATAAGTTCACATTTTTAACTAAAAAATGTAACATAGTAGGTTAGGATTTCTTCAGCAATAGAATGTTACTTCACATCTTTAGATAAAATAATCTATCAATCACAGCTATTATGCTTTAAATATTCTACCTATACAGATGGTGATATCCTAAACAGTCTAGGATCTAGACCAATGGTACTTAAATTTTCATATGCACACAAATCACCTGGGATTTTTTAACTGCAAGTCTGGCAGGGGGCGGTGGCTCATTCCTGTAATCCCGGCACTTTGGGAGACCTAGGTGGGTGGTTTACCTGAGGTCAGGAGTTTGAGACCAGCCTGGCTAACATAGCAAAAACCCCATCTCTACTAAAAATACAAAAATTAGCCAGGTGTGGTGGCAGACACCTGTAATCCCAGCCACTTGGGAGGCTGAGGCAGGAGAGTCGCTTGAACCTGGGAGGCAGAGGCTGCAGTGAGCCTGGGGCGACAGAGCAAGGCTCTGTCTCAAAAAAGACAAAAAACTCCGCCCGAGTCTGTTTCAGGAAGTCTGGAGTGGGATCCTGGAGTGAGACTGTGCATTTCCATCAACAGTGCACCAACACTGCTGGTCTTTGACTATGACTATATGGTAATAAGATACAGGATTTTAAAATAGAATTTATGGCATATATACAATGGGTGATGTCCCATTATGGGATACAAGCTTAAAATTGTAAAACTACAAGTATCTTTTCAATAGCGCCATTGTTTCCCTGTGACTGTACTGATAACAGATAATAGCAAAAGTTTGAAATATGATGCCTTTGCCAGATGGCTCTCCCTTCCTACTTTGATAGGCTTTAATTAGGTACCTTACATAAATGCCCTTTGGAATTTCTGATACCTGCCCTAGCAGGTTGAAGGGAGATTCTGAAATGAAGTAAGGCTCCCAGTCATAGTCATAGGCAGGGAGCCATCTCAATTTTTGGAGCACAGAACTGGGAGTGGGGAGACAGCAGGCATACCAGCACCCTTACATGCCAGATAAGTGAGATTTACATGACGTGAAAATTAGCCTCTTCTCTCCCGTTCCATCTTAAAAAAAAAAAAAAAAATCAAACCATTGACAAAGAATTGCTAAAATGGGACCTGTTGCTCCCACACACCAGAGCCACCCTGGACAAAAGCCAGAGTCCCAGCTAAGAAAACAGTCTGCCTTCTTCCCACGGTAACGTAGGCTTTGTTTATATCATTCCTTGGCCATTCCATCCTGGAAATGTAAGACTGGCACAGTCAGTGGATGGGGGCGAGTTCGTCTAGGAGCCTCCCCAACTCAGCATCAACACCTCCCAGGGCGTTCCCTCCTGCCCTCGGCTCATCTCTCTCATCACGTGCCAATCCTGGGATCTGAGAGAGGGTAGGGTAGTCTTGGCATCAGCCCCCGCAAGGCTGTAGCTCCCACCTTCCTTCGGCTGTAGCTTCGAGTTCCTCGATTACAACGTGCAACGGGTCAGGTGGGCAATGTCTTTGATCTCGGGACAGTAGAGCACTGGGGGAAAGAAGAAGGGTTAGTGGTAGCAGAGCAGGCCAACGAATCCCGGTGTTCCTCGGCGCTCTCTCCCCTGCATCCTCCCCTGGCAGCCCCTCACCGTTGCTAGGCAGCGGACGCCGCCAGCGGCGCGCGGGCGCCAGGACCCTGTCCCAGAGATTTCGGAGTGCGCGCCACCTAGCGCTCCTTGGCCCCGCCCCCTTCTCGCTCTCCCTTTCCTCCTCCGCTTCTCCTTCAGCGTCGCCGCTTTCCTTGGCCGGGTTCCCCGCCTCATCTCGTTCGCACTCGGCCCGCGCTTTTTTCTCCAATCGCGACCACAAGTCCGAGTCGAGGGCGATCTCCGTGACGCCGCCGCGCGGGAGCGGCGTGGGCGCGCGGCAGAAGGGGCACGTGACCACGCGTCGCAGGCGCACCACGCGCGCGGCCGCCCCGCCGCCGTCCCCGCGCACCGCCAGCTCGCGGAGGCAGGCGGTGCAGAGCGTGTGGCCGCAGCGGGCACGCGCCGTCCCGGGCAGGCGGCGGGGCGCGCGGACCCCGAGGTTGAAAGGGCGGTAGCATATGTTGCAGTCCAGCTCGCCCCGCTCCGGAAGAGAGGGCACCCTCACCAAGAGCTGCATCGTGCCCGCCGCGGATTCGAGGACGTCGCTATCGCTGCGGATTCCGTGGACAAAACGAGCAGACCCTTCTGGGGCCGGCGCCGCGGCCTCTTTCCCCTTTTAATAGGGGAATAAGTGAGGCTCCACCCTTCGAAGCGTCATGCCTTGATCGGCCGCTCCCTATGGTGGCACGTGTTGGGGCGGTGGAGGTGTGAGGCCAGGAATGACAGCGATGGTGGAGTGGGGGAGGCGGCCCAGACGATGCCAGTACCAGAGCCCTGGGGTCCAAAGCACCCATTCCTCCCTTCCTCTCCACTTCCAGGGAGTGAGGTGGAGCTTTCCTTCTTCCCCCAAAGCAATGCCAGCACTCCTTAATTCTACTGTGTGCAAACCCCCGGGTCCCTTTTTGTGCCTGAGCCTTTTGTAATTGGCACAGGTTTCTAAAGACCCCTTGGCCTGTTCACTTGCTCACAGTGAGTTTCACAATCCCACCCAGTTTCCTAACACTGCCCATTCTGCCCAACCGTTAGTGGTCCCCTGGGCCTTTGAATCGATTTCACCCTCAGTTCTCATTATACACGAGCTCTCTGTGTTGCTTGTAAGGCTGGCTTCCTAAATTTCATTATCCCCACACTGCTCAACCCTCACTGATAGCTCAGCCTAAGGAGGGATGTAGATTCCAGGACTATGGCTTTAGGAATGCTGGGAATCCTTTCCTTCCAGAGGCTTGGACACCCACACATCATTATGGCCCCAGCAAAGCACCCCAGCATGAGCTCTGACTCAGGGGTCTGACTTCTCCCCCTGGTAAACAGGACATGGCACTCACAACCCACATTCCCCTCATGGTGCCACACCCATACACAGCTGCCTCCTCAACCTCTCCTGAACCTGAAGCCCAGGTTCTGTTGTGGAGGGTAATAACACAGTCAGAGCCAGGTGGCTTGAGTTCAAATTCTAGCTTCCACCTCTTTCTAGCTGTGACACTTTGAGCAAGTTACTTAATTTCTCTGGGCCTTGGTTTCCTAAGTTATAAAATGTGGATAATAATAGTGAGGACTGAATGAGCTTATATGAGTAAGGTGATTCAAATGGTGTCCAGTACACAGTAAGCACCAGGTAAATGCTATATTAGCTACTATTATTATCCTGTGCCATCAGCCTCTATTGTATTTGCTTTAACTTCTCAGTACCCAACATTTTCAACACTCATCCTTCTTGACCAATATGTACAAGATGGGCTTCTCTACCCCCATGGCATTTACCAGCTATCACAGGCAATGCAGAGCTGGCTTTTTAACCTAAATTGTTAAAACCTAGTAGGTAATCTCTTTTGAGGAGGTATACCATTATTATTATTATTATTTTATTATTGAGATGGAGCCTCGCTCTGTTGTCCAGGCTGGAGTGCAGTGGCACAGTCTTGGCTCACTGCAACCTCTGCCTCCTGGGTTCAAGTGATTCTCCTGTCTCAGCCTCCTGAGTAGCTGGGATTACAGGCACACACCACCATGCCTGGCTAAATTTTTTGTATTTTAGTAGAGACGGGGTTTCACTGTGTTCCCCAGGCTGGTCTCGAACTCCTGAGCTCAGGCAGTCTGCCCACCTCGGCCTCCCAAAATGCTAGGATTACAGATGTGAGCCACCTTGCCCAGCCCCATTATTTTTAAGTAAACATTTCAGAACTTTTGAATGGTACTGTCTGTGATCATGGGAGAAGCTGTCTACTTATGCTCTCACAATTCAAAACTTTTCTGTCTTAAAGGGTCTGGTAGAGCTGGGCACAGTGGCTCTTGCCTGTAATCCCAGCATTTTGGGAGGCTGAGGCAGGTGGATAACTTGAGGTCAAGAGTTCAAGACCAGCCTGGCCAACATGGTGAAACCCTGTCTCTACTAAAAATACAAAAATTAGCTGTGCATAGTGGCTCACACCTGTAGTTCCAGCTATTCAAGAGGCTAAGGGATGAGAATTACTTGAACACAGGAGACGGAGGTTGCAGTGAGTCAAGATCACACCACTGCACTCCAGCCTGGGCAATAAAGTAAGACTCAGTCTCAGTCTCCAGAAAAAAAAAATAAAATAAAAAAGGAGTACTGGTACATATCTATTGTTAATAAATACATGATAAAGTACAAAACACAAGACTATGAGGAAATGATAACTTTACCAAGCAGCATCCACAATCCACTGTACCCTCCATGGTAAGCATTATAGGCGTGAGCCACTGCACCTGGCCCATCTTAATCTTTAAAGGTAGATTTGATGATGTAAATGCCCCCAAAGTGTTAAATAACCAAGGCTCCAGATATTAGTTGCCTGCTCCACAGCCCTTGTTGTTTATCTCCAAGAACCCGAATGAATGGCCTCCATGTCCAAATCAGCATTTCTTCCAGTTTTCCGCCCCTTTATTTGCCCAATTCTAGAAACCTTGATGTTGCCCTTGCCCTTGCTTTCCTGTACTGATCCATCAGCAAGCCAGGTCTATTTTGCCTCTTAAATATCTCTCTAATCACCTATTTCTCTCCACCTCCCCACACCACCCTAGTCCAAGCTGCCACCATCTCTTGCTTAGACTCTAGCAGGAGCCTCCTAACCAATCCCCATGGGCACTCTGGCCTGCAGGCTTCTCTCTGTATTTACAGTAATCTTCCCAAATTTCAAACCCAATCACGTCCTACCACCCACTCCTTCCATTCTTGTTTAAAATCTTTTAGGTGAGGTGCAGTGTCTCACACCTGTAATCCCAGCACTTTGGGAGGCCAAGGCCAGCAGATCACCTGAGGTCAGGAGTTTCAGACAAGCCTGGCCAACATGGTGAAACCCCATCTCTACTAAAAATACAAAAATTCAAAAATTAGCCGGGAGTGGTGGTGGGCACCTGTAACCCTAGATACTAGGGAGGCTGAGGCAGAAGAATCACTTGAACTAGGGAGGCAGAGGTTGGAGTGAGCTGAGATCATGCCACTACTCCAGCCTGGGTGACAGGGCGAGACTCCATCTCAAAAACAAAAACAAATAAAAACTTTTAATGTGGCTTAATCACGGCCCCAGATTCCTTTGCAATGTGACTTTGCTGCTTCTCACATTAAGAACTGGGGTCTCCTTCTCTATCCCTTGAATCTGGGCTGGCCTTGTAAATAGTTTTGACCAATAGATGTGGCAGAAGTGATGTGTGAGTTCTGGAACCTAGTCCTTCAGAGGCCTTGTAGCTTCTGCCCTTCTCCCCTTGGAACACTGCCCTGAGACCACCATGTAAGGATGAGGCTACATGGAGGAGTGCCAGCCAACAGCCATACCTGCTGGTAAGGCCACTATGTATTTTCCTGCTCAGCTGTCCTGCTGTTTGAGTGCTGGGAATAGTTTGAGTGCAGCCACGTGAGTGAGCCTAGGTGAAAACAGCAAAGGAACTCCCAGCCAGCCCACAGAATCATGAAAAAGAGCAGTTTTAAAGTTATTTCAGCTGAGTGTTGTGGCTCACATCTGTAAAACTAGCACTTTGGGAGGCAAGATGGAAGGATCACTTGAGCTCAGGTGTTTGAGATCGGCCTGGGCATCATGGTAAGAAACTGTCTCTACAAGAAAAAACAAAAGCAAGCCAGATGCAGTGGTGCACATCGTCCCAGCTACTCAGTAGGCTGAGGTGGGTGGATCTCTTGAGCCTCAGGACATCGAAGCTGCACTGAGCTGTGATCCCATCAGTGCACTCCAGCCTGGGTGACAGAGTGAGACCCCATCTCTTAAAAATAAAAAGCAGCTAAAACTAGGTTCTTGTTACATGAAAAAACAAAAAGAGGAAAAGGAAAAAAAAAAAGAAAATAAATAAATAAAAAGTTATCTCAGGTCACTAACTTTGGTGGTGATTTGTTGTGTATCAATAGATAACTGATACAGAGGGCTTCCTACTGTTTTTTCCTAGTATGATAAATATAATATTTTTTGAGACAGGGTCTTGCTCTGATGCTCAGTCTGGAGTGTAGTGGCATGATCTTGCTCACCGCAGCCTCCCAGACTCAAGCCATCTGCCCATCTCAGCCTTTAAGTAGCTGGGACTACAGGTGTGAGCCACCATGCCTGACCAATTCTTGTATTTTTGTAGAGATGTGGTCTCCCCATGTTGCCCAGGCTGGTCTTGAACCCCTGGGCTCGTGTGATCTACCTGCTTCGGTCTCCCAAAGTGCTAGGATTACAGGCATGAGCCACTGCGCCCGGCCTAGATAAATATAACATTGTAAGGTACTGTGTGTTCTGAACTTACCCATGTCTGTCTGTCTTTCTTCCTCCCCCTTTCTTTTCTTTCTCTTTTTATTCTTCCTTCCTCCATTTCTCCCTTCCCTTTCCTTCCTTTCTTTTTTTTGAGACAGTCTTTCAACAGACACTTCAGTCTATTGCTCAGGCTGGAATGCAGTGGCACAATCTTGGCTCACTGCAACCTCCACCTCCAGGGCTCAAGTGATTCTCCTGCCTCAGCCTCCTGAGTAGCTGGGACTACAGGTGGGCATCACCACGCCTGGCTAATTTTTTTTTTTTTTTTTTTTGTATTTTTAGTAGAGAGAGGTTTTCGCCACGTTAGCTAGGCTGGTCTTAAACTCCTGACCTCAAGTCATCCACCCACCTCAGCCTCCCAAAGTGCTGGCATTACAGGTTTGAGCCACTGTGCCTGGCCATTACCCATGTCTCAATTTCTGTTCCATTCCTCTCTAGACACTCTGGCTTTGGGGACTTTTGGCTTATATGTTCCTTTCTGCCACAGGCCTTCATATGCTCTTAAACCTCTTGCTTAACCCTTATTAACATCTATTCATCCTTCAGCTCTCAGTGCAGCCTCACCATGTCAGATAACCACTACAGACTCGGTAACACCATGTGCTTTCCTCTGGACTTTGGACAGCTGAAGTTTGTATTTTTTTGGCAGATCTGTGATTGTCTCTCCCCTCAGCAAGATGTATGAAGGTTGTTCCGAGTCTGGTTTTGTTCACCCTTGTATCCCTGGGCCACACCATAATAGGACTGAATAAACAAATACTTGCTAAATTAATGAATGATGTGAGTGATAAATACAGCAAATGTCTACATACAAAGGAGGTGTGACACTAAAGGAAGGTTTTTGTTGTAGTGGTTGTTGTTGTTGTTAAACCAAGGGATTTCCAAACTGCCTCTGAAGGTAATTCAAAGCCAGCAATGGAGCAGGCTTCATTAAAATGCGTGCATAACCCTCTAAGAAGAATACTATTTGGGATTGATTAATTCTTGTATGTTTGTTACAGAATAACTAATCATAGTTTAGTCATACATTTTACTTCCTTGTTTCATCCACAGTCTTGCAAAATGAGTGGGAGATGATGGGGGTGGATGTAAGTATTCATTAGTTGATGAAGTTGGCTGCTAATCCAATAAATGGCATACTGCTGACTTTTTTCTTTTGGAAATTGGTTTTACTCTGTTTGCCCAGTTTTTGGATCAAGGCAGGATAAGGATGGGTAGAAGGGAGATGGGGAGGTTGTATTTAAGGAAGGCAGAGCTCATCCTCCTCTGCCTTGTGATCTTTAAGGTTGTAACTTTCAACCCAGTTCTGTCCCAATGAAATGATAACATCTTTTCTTCTCTCTATTCCCTCAACCTCAGACCATTCTTCACTTTACCTGTCCACCAAATCATAAAGCCTCAACCTCAGAACAGCATTTCCCACTCAGCTACAAGTTCCTTGGCATACGTGTGGGTATCTGTGAGACAGAAATGAGAAGTACAAGGAAGAAGTATGGCTAATATCACTTTAAATACAAACAAAACAAGGGCAGATAGCTAGGTCTTTCATAGAAAGAGGAGGAACAAAATTATGAAGCCAGACTTCTGGGTTCTAAGGAATGTGGTAACTGAATGAAGAAAACTGAGGCCCAGGGTATCTGGTGCCTTGGTCCTTGATGAGAACAGTGACTAGGAGCCTGATGCCTGGGTCACCAAGGTGAATGAGCAGTAGAGACAAAGCTACTGCTGGGAACTTTCTAATGTTAAGGGGCTAGCGGGCCAGACAGGTGAGACTGTGACCCTAGCCTTCCAACCCCCTACAACTTCAGACATTGTGCGGATTAAGCTGAGGTTTATTTACAGTTCCCTGGGAAGTCTTACAGAGGAGGGACCATCATTATTGCTTTAGAGTTATTGCCAGGAGGAAGACTGCAGTTCTCCGCTGCCAGGTAGGAGGTCTTGTTCAAGGCTCAAAAGTCTATACCCAGACCTTTTATGTCAGCCCCTTGTCTCTGCCCGTGACCAAAAGGCTGTCACTAATTCCTGCAAAAACAGCCCAACTGTTTTTCAAGGGCCACCCTGGCCACTTCCACCAGACTGCAGTGTAGATGTGCTATTAAATTTCTCTCTACCTTTGTCAGTGCTATGTCACTGCAGCCCCCACCCTGACCACCCTCCTCCACCTCTGGCTGGGAGGCAGGGTCCTAGTTTCCCAAAGATGATCATTTACATCCTGCCAGGACCAGCCTGGCTTCCTTTGTACTGAATACCCTACGAGCCCCATTTCTTATGTCCCAAATGACATCACGACTCACTCACTAGGTTATTACCCTTTGATGACATTTCAAGGGCCCCTTCGAAGGTACTCTGTTTCTTGTATGTGCTAAGTTTTTGTTTTTGTTTTCTCTTCTGGGCCTCGGGAATAGGGGAAAGAGAGAAGAGGCGAGACCAAGTGGCAGAGAGCCGATGGCTAGTAGCTCATGCCCGGGATTTGCAAGATCGCCTAGAAGGACACAGCGGGGGCGGGCGTACTACTTTCTCTCTCGGCCCCACTGCGGAAGGATATGGCTTTGTTCATGCGTATCACTAATCGAAGCCGGGACTCGTTGGTAGGCGGGGCTACCCTGGCTCCAGCCGCGGCATGGAGGGATCCGGCGCGGGATAGGCGGCTGCGGGGAGCAGTTCTCGGGCGGGTACAGTGGCGCCACGATGGGTCCCTGCGCCCCTGACGGACTACTTCTTGGAATGCGGCTTGTTCCCCAGGAGCCCGTCTATTTCTATCACCGCCTGCGGGGTCAGCTGGCTCAGCACCTGGTGGAGGAGAATGGGGTGGTGGCGACTGCAGCCCATGCTGGGTCACTGAGGGAGGGCATGGGGTTCCGGGAACCGGGGAAGCACCACAGTGGGGTCAAGTGGCCAGGCAAGAATCGCAGCTGTGTCCGTGCCTCGCCTTTCGGCCCTGGGACCTCTCACCTGCAAAGTGAGGACTTTGCAGTGGGTGACCCTATAGGGCCATCCTGGTTTGGATGGCGTCGCTTTGACTCCTGGGTAAGGGAACAGAGATAGGCTCTGCCTCTAAGTCTCCAACTCACCTGTAGAGCGCCCAGGTGTTCTATCAACTGTTCTGCACTCGACACCCCCAGCAAGACAGAGCTGACACCCTCACTGCGGAGACACCACGCTGGGGCCAGAGGAGGATAAAAAGAGAACTGATGGGGAACAGTGACCACATAGATTTCAGAAGTGTCTCTGAAGACAAGGGTCCTCCCTAGGGACAAACCAGTTTTAGGATGAGCTTGGGAGCATGCCAGGAGGAGACAGGGTGGGTGCAGGTACAGTGTCTCACCAATGGCAAGCTGGGCCACAGTGCAGCCCAGCTGGTGAGCCATGGGGAGAAGGTCCATGACTTTGGCTTGTTGTTTCTTGCCGTCTTCAGTCTGCACTTTGTCCTTGAGCCACTGGTAGCCCTGGAGGCCAAGGAGAATGAGCAGAAGACCGTGCCATCCCCACCACCTCCACACTCACAGCAGCCTGACCCCTGTAACTCCCCACAAAGCAGCCCGCATAACCCAGTCCTGCCACCCGGAGCCCCCAGATCTCACCTTGACGTTGGCCCTGCAGGTATCTGGGACTCGCCCATCATACTTGCTAGTAATGAGACCACAGGCTAGAGGGTACCAGGTGACTGATCCAACTCCTAAGAGAAGAACACTGGGTGTCAGGAAAAGGCCCTAGCCATGGATGAAGCTAAGGTAAAGTCAGGGATGAGGGGCTGCAAACCAATCTTGTGGTAGAGCTCTGGCAGCTGCATCTCCACCTTCTCCCTCTGAAACAGGTGGTGCTCAGCTTGTTCACAAACTGGAGGAATCAGATTGAACTGTCTGGCCATGGAGTAGGCCTCCTGGGTTGGAGTTGGGGAAAAGATAGGGGTCAGAGCATGACTTCCATTTTCTTCTCTGCCTCCTCCCTCAGGCAGTGGGCTCTGAAGTAACCATGTGAAAAGTGGGAACCAGTTGTGGGACAGGGGCAAAGTGGGGTCACACACTCACCATGATTTCTGCAGCCCCCCATCGGGATGTCCCCCAGTATAGGGCCAGGCCCTGGTTGATGACATAGGTCATGGCTCGTACAATCTCTAGGCACACAGGAGAGAGAAAGTCTTACTGTCAGACCCCTGGGATCTAAGACTCCAGATTTGCAGACCTCTACCTGCCCCACCAAGACCCAGGCATCTCTGTGGAGTCATGAAAGTTAATATCTATTCTTTGCCTCCCTTCCTGTCCACATCCTGGAGTCTCAGCCTCCACTATGGAGTTTGGGAGGCCTTCTGAGCAGGAGCTGGCTTCCTGCTGAGGGTTTGAGGAAGGGCTCAGTTTTTGCTTTTTAGATTTTTTTGAGACAGGGTCTCGCTCTGTTACTCAGGATGTAGTGCAGTGGTGCAATCATAGCTCACTGTGGCTTCAAATTCCTGGGCTCGGATGATCATCCTGCCTCTGCTTCCTGAGTAGCTGGGAGTACAGGCACACACCACCACAGCCAGCTAATTTTTAAACATTTTTTGTAGAGACAGGGTCTTGCTATGTTGCCCAGGCTGTTCTAAAACTCCAGGCCCCAAGTGATCCCCCTGCGTTGGCCTCCCAAAGTGCTGGGATTACACGCATGAGCCACTACACCCAGCAAAGAAGTGCTGTTTTGAAGGACTGTAAAGGTTGGGGGTGCTGCTTTTACCCTCCATGGGACAGTTGGGGTCTGAGCGATTGGCAAAGACAATGTCCACGTATCCCAGCTGGAGGCGTTCCAGGGATCCTCGCAAGCCTGGAGGTGGGGTGGGGAGAGGAAGAGGAAGATAAGCACCTCAGCTTCAGTGTACTAAGAATTCACATTGCTGAGCACGGTGGCTCATGCCTGTAATCCCAGCACTTTGGGAGGCCAAGGTGGGCAGATCACCTGAGTTCAGGAGTTCAAGACCAGCCTGGCCAACATGGTGAAATACTGTTTCTAATAAAGATATAAAAAATTAGCCAGGTGTGGTGGTGCACACCTGTAATCCCAGCTGCTCAGGAGGCTGAGGCAGCAGAATCTGCTTGAACCCAGGAGGCAGAGGTTGCAGTGAGCCGAGATCACACCATTGCACCCCAGCTTGGGCAACAAAAGCGGAACTCCATCTAAAAAAAAATTCAGACCTTGCCCCTTTGCCATGGCCACCTAAATCCCTATTCAAAGCCTCCAGAAGTTCAGGGAATGTACCCTACTCCTCTGGCTTCCATATCCCCTCACTTCGGGCTCCCAGCCCCATCTCACCCTCAATGATGTGCTTGCGGCTCAAACCTCGCTCGGTTTCTGCCCTGTAGGAAAAGGTTAAGTCAAAGATGAGAGAGACGTGACAAAGATAGGGACCAGGCTGGCTTGGAGACATAAGGAAATGGGAATCCATGAGTCTTCACAGGCAGGGCATGGACCTAGTGTAGCAGGTGCAGGATAGCTGTCCTCACCCCCACCCCATACACCTTTGCACATTCTCCCCCGTTGCAGTGGGGCAGCCACTTACTGTCCTCCCCAAAAAATCTTGGTGGTGATGACATAGCTTGATCTCCTGGAAGAAGAGAAATGGGAGAACCAGCAAGAAAAGGATTTTTGGGTGATCATTTCCTCAGCAACCCCCAAAACAGTCTCACCTCCAACCTTTGCTCTTCAGGATGTTGCCTAGGGTCCTTTCAGCCCTAAAAGAAAGACAAGGCAGACTCACTGACCCCTCCCAGGCTGATCGATTCCTTCCTCTCCTCCCCACCTTTTCCTCTTTTGCAAAGTAGAATATAAACCAAGGAGTCCATTTCAGCTCACAGGTCCATCCTGGACAAAATAAGAGGGGCTCCTGGAACTAGGGGTGTAATTGTATAGTCTTCATCATATATTCAACAAGTATCTGTTGTGCATTAACTATGTATCAAGTCCTGCTGTGGGGGCCAAAAAGATAGAATAGGATGAGGGGAGAGGGGTCAATTATGCTGGAGCCAGGAAGGACACTGCCTTGTCTGGCTTCAACTATCTGGGTTAACTTCCCCCTTCTTTAAGCCTCTGCAAAATTCCACTCATCCTCCAAAGCTCAGCTCAAATTCTGCCTCATCCATAATGTGTTCTCTGAGTGCCACAATCTATGGTCCAGCCTTCCTGTCATCTTCCATAGAACTGGCTACACAATGTAGCATAAAATTATGAGCTAACGTGTGGCAAGTCTTAAGTTGTCATGGTGGACTGTTACTGAAATGTTTTACCATGGTTTACTCTTTCCTATCACCCTTTTTTGTTTGTTTAACCACTTAGACTGTGTGCAGTTTTGGAGACATGTTAATTCTTCCCAGAAGCAGCACCTGCTCCGTGCTAGGCTCTGTGTGAGTACTTGGGGAAGAGCAAGACAAGTTCCACAGAAGGAGGCCTCTGACTTCAGCAGCTAATACAGCTACATAAACCATGAATTGTGTGTCAGAAGACAGCCCACAGTGCTTTGGGAGCTCATGGTAGGGGAGGGAAGTGACCTGGGCAAAGGATTCTTGAAGGAGCAGACACTTGGGTCAAGTCTGGAGGATGAGCCGAAGTGTTTGCTAGATGGGGAAGAAACAGGGTCAGGTCATCCTAGGTTTTCTCTACTAGTGTGAGGCCTCTACAAATGTGTGATATGGCATGATATGTTAGAAAAAAAATTCAGCGTTGTAATCCTCAAATAGTTACATATAACTAATGCCTCAGATATATTTGTTGTCTTTATTTAATAATAACTGCACAGTATGCCCGTTGACTTCTAAGCCAGAGAAGGACCGATGTTGGGACTGTAACAACTACAGTGCTTTAGGAGCCCTCCCGCAAAGGGTTGGAACTTCACATTCTCAGAAGTCTCAGGGTTCTTTAGAGGGAAAACGAGAAGAGAAGCCCTGGAGTCCTCTCAGCCTTCCAAATGGAGCTTAGCTCTTTCACCCCAGTCCTTACTTTCCTGCTGCGTACACTTCGGCGGTGTCAAACAGGTTTACACCATGCTCATAGGCTACTGTCAGCACATCCTCTGCTGTCTAAGGGGGTGAGAGAAAGAGGTAAAGATCAACTACTGCTCCTCAGTTACCTCCCTCACTGTACTCTAACCTATCACATCTCAGCCCTGGATTCTCTCCCCTCCCCCCATCCTCCAGCCTCAGATCCATCATTCCGTGTGCTTGTTGTCCAAACTGCTATCCAGGTTCATTTCCCCTTTTCAGGTTCCCTCACCCCCACCACCCTGATTCTAAGTCCCATCACTTATACCTCATCTGAGATCTGAGAACCAAACGTGACCCAAGTACCTGCAAGAGAGAACCAAGGCACATGAGAACTGCAGGAGCAGACCATGAAAGAATGCCCCCCTTTCCTTAATTTCTATTCTAACTCACCCAGGCCAAGACAGGATACCCGAAGACCAGACTTCCCTAGGTTCCTGCAAGATACAGAAGCAGCAGAAAAGGGTGGAACCTCCATTATGGATCTAGATTATCAGCCCCCAGCTCCTCTTCTTCCAGACTGAGAAGCCCTCAGGTGTCTCAGTCCAAAGAAACTAGACCCAGTGGGCCTATAGAATTGGGCAAGTGCTACCTCCAGAGCAGAGGTCCTAGGAATTTTGTCAAAAGGACAAGTCAACCAATAAGTGAGTGTTCCTCTGTCTCCATTCTCTTTTTTTTGAGACGGAGTCTCACTCTGTTGCCCAGATGGAGTGCAGTGGTGCGATCTCAGCTCACTGTAGCGAGGGCCTCCTGGTTTCAAGCTATTCTCCTGCCTCAGCCTCCTGAGTAGCTTGGACTACAGGCGTGTGCCACCATGCCCAGCTAATTTTTGTATTTTTAGTAGAGACAGGGTTTCACCACATTGGCCATGTTGGTCTCAATCCCCTGACCTTGTGATCCACCTGCTTTGGTCCCCCAAAGTGCTGGGATTACAGGCATGAGCCATCATGCCTGACCATCTCTCTTATCAGATTGAAGATGTGTGTCTGATTTTCTTTCTGGGGTCTTGTCTATGTTTGAGTCATCTCTGGGATATGTGCAGTGAGGGTCTGGGAGGAATGCGGTTGGTTGATTGTGGTAAGTTTGTGAGACCAGGCCCTCAGGCAGAGCGCTGTGCCAAACAGCGGACACCAGGTTGGAAGAGGTAAACCAAGTCAAGCTCAGGCATTCAGACAGGCAAGGGTCCCTGGCTAGGCTAGGCAGATGGGCCTGGAAGAAAGGCAGACTGGGGACCTGGGAGGAGGGGGAAGAGTAAGACAGGAAAGCCTGGTTCTCCCTCTCCACTCCCTCTGTTACTGTTAGTTTGTGAAGACTGTCTCTGAACCAATGAGCCCCCTCCTCCTCCCAAAGCCCTCTCCTCTTCCCAAAGTCCCCAACTCAGATGTCAGCTCAGCTTGCCAATCAGGGCCACCATATAGAGGGGATCAGATTCCTCAGGTGACAAAGCAGGTCAGATCAGTGACCTCAACTCACTCTAAGCAGGCCCCTCCTCTACCCCCCAGTTCAAGTTCTGAGCCTCTGGCCTGACAGTCCTCTGAGATAAAGTTGGTTACATTTCAGTCTACCCAGATCCTGTCCCTCAGCATGGAGACGAAAAATGTGGTCCATCCTTCCCATGAGCCTCATTATCCTTGCGCCCAAGAAAGGTCGCAGGAGACCTAGCCCTTGGGGTAGGCGGGGGCAGTATCTGGGTCAGGCACCCTGAGCAGGCCAGAGAGAGAAGCCAGTTCCCTCCCTCCACTCCCCGGGACACAGACCCAAGGACATGCCACTGGAGAGGGGTGCAGCCTGGAGATCCGTGTAGCATGGAGATCCGTGCAACCCTGACCTTCCCAGGGGTAAGGAGGGAAGCTCAGGGGCATCCCTGGGTCTGACAGGACCCTGTCAACCTTGGTAAACTTGATTCTCTCATAGTCAGGGGTATTGACAGAGACCAAGAGAGGGACAAAGTGAAGGAGTGCTGGAGACGGGAAGAAGAGATGGAAAGAAGGGGGACCTACTTAGTGAAGTTTGAAGGGGTCTTGGCGGCCATCTCAAGAAACCTCAGGGGTCCCGAAAGGAAAGTGGAAGGGGTGGGCTGCCCAGCCACCCCCATACCTGTATTTCATGCCAGTGCCTCGGCCGGTGCTCTCTCGGAGGGCCCCAGCGGGCGCTGGGGGTCGGGGAACCAGTGCAGCTCGGGTTTTGGGGCCAGACCCTCCACCCCCTGGAGGATTCCCGTGCCCCCCGCCGGCTGGCCCGCCATTACCGCCCCCAGGGCCCTGCCGGGGTCCACACAGACGGTCCTCACTGCTCCGGCTGCGAAGGTTCTGCTCGGTACAGGCGATAGATACCTGCATGCCGGCTGGCTGGGGCGGGGGAGGGGGCTCCGAGGGGACGGGAGAGGGGAGCAGGGAAGCCTACGCGCGGATGACTCGGGGCGTAGTGGGGCGAGCCCCTGCAGAGCGGGAAGGCTGGGAAGGCTGCAGCGGGAGCTGCCCGGCAGGATCGGGCCCGTGGGGGCCGGCTGCTGGAGGTCGCGAGGTTTGCGGCGGGAGGGGAAAAACACGGGTGGAGGGGCGCCAGGAGTGCAGATACTCAGTTACAGGGGACACAGGTGCAAGGAGTAGGAGGGGGAAATGGATGAGGGTAAAGGTCGAGGATGAGGTAAAGGTTTCGGAGGATAAGGACCCAGGGGGAAGAGGGGAGAGAGATGACACTTCAGCGCGAACCGCAGCGGGACCCGCTGGGCTCCCAGCCGCGTCCGCGGCAGGCCCAGCTCATCAGCATGCAGGCACCGCCTCCTCATCTGCATAGAGCCACCCGCCTCCCAGCCAAACCTGCTGCTCATCTGCATAAGCCCCGCCTGCCGAAGGCTCCGCAGCTTGAATATTTTCTGAGCGGAATCCAGAAGGGTGGCTCCTGCACCCTCTGGGACCCAAGGCCTGTCAGGCTTCCCCTGGCCCAGTGGTTCTCAATAGGGAGGGACTGTCTCCCAGGGGAATTTTGGCAAGGTTTGGAGACATTTTTTTATTTCACACCTGGGGATGCAGAGGAACGTACTATCACCATCTAGTGAGTGGTGGCCAGGGATACTGCTAAAATCTTGCAAAGCACAGGTCAGCCCCCACAGTAAAGAATGATGCAGCCTAAAGCATCAATATTGTCACGGTTGAGAAACCCATTCACAAAGCCACTTCGTAGCCTTCAAGGGGGTGTGGCTGTCCTAATTTCCACCTTCATGCGTGGGGCAGGACTGAGAGGGCCCTCAAACCAACATGCTCAGGCCACAGGGAGTAACAAAAAGTTTATTCTGTGCTTCTCACAGTGTCAGGCAGGGGATAAAACTGGAGAGGGCCTGGTTTGAAGGGGGAGGGACTCAGTGGGCTTCATTCTGGTAGGAGGAGGGCATCGGGGCAGGCCTTTAGGCTGTTGTTCTGGGTGGGGAGATGGGGGCTTACAGTCTGGGGGATGGGGGGCTTACAGTGGGAGCCCTTAGGTGGCACAGGTTCGGAAGGGCCCCAGGCAGGTATTAATTCTGCTGAGACATGAGGTAGGTTGCTTCAGCCAGCCCGGGCGGAGAAGAAGGGCAGAGAGCGAACATAGGAATCCAGTCGGGAGCGAAAGAGCTCGCTTTGCACAGTTTGGCCCAGCGGGCATAGGGGATTCTTCACCACCAGCTCCACATACAGCTGCAGAAAGGGAAGATGTCAGCGCTGGGCTTTGGATACTTCTTGTTTCCAACCCCAAACCTCAGAGGTGTGTGAATGCACAAGGAACAAAGGCTGGAAGGCACGTCCTCTCTGAGAAGAAGCTCGTGGTAGGAGTTAAGAACCTAAAGTCCCCTGAGAAAACTCCGAATTCAACCAACATATTGTAGCATTAGGATAGGGAAGATAAGGGAGTCTTGGGATTCTGATGAGCTCGGGGCGGGGGGTGGGGGGATTGGGGGCCGGTCCCCGGGGCTGGCACTGACCGCACTGTAGATGTGATGCAGTACATCTCGGATGGGTCCCACGCCCAAGTCAGTATTCATGACAACTTTGATCCCAGTGGGCGTCTCGTAGTAATGGAGTTTGTAACGGCTAGTTTGAAAGGCCAAGAAGCCATCCTTCCTGCAGAGATGAGGACGGTGTTAAGGAATGAGAGCAAAATCTCTCCCAAAGAGATACTTCCGATCCCCTCAAAGGTCGACTCCCTCTTCATCTAAACATATCTTTTGCAGAAGCCTGGTTGAGTAAAGACATCACCCATCCTCACCCCCTCAATTTAGCACTCCCTAACCTCTCTACTTTCAGACCCTCCCCATCGCCACTCCTGCCAGTTCCAGCATCTTGATCCGGACTCAGCCTCTCTAAGTACCCTTTCCCCCTCTGGAGGCCAATGCCTCTTCCACTTCAGAAAGTTTCCCCCATCCCCAAATTCCCAAGGCTAGCCCTCCTCCCAACATCTTTTCTGACTCGGCATACATGTCTAGCGGGGACATCTTGCTGACAAAGGAGCGGATAGAGAAGAGCATCCCGTACATTAGCTTGTACTCCTGGAGGGAGAAGGGCAGAGTTAGCTCTCGGTTGTTGCGGGGTGGGGGTGGGAACGAGCTGGGGTTTGGAGAAGAGGGGTTGGGTTGGGACTACAGGTGTTTGGAGCTGAGAAGTCACCGGGCTGCACCAGGGCCCTCTCGTCACCTCCTCCTTGGGAATGCCTGCTTGCTTCTTGCGGTGCCATTCGCTATAGTGCAGACATACTCCATTCCGGTCAAACAGGTACAGGTTGTGGACAGTCATCTGCAGGGCAGGGAGTGTGAGCCTCGCTCCGGGACTGCCCCCACTCCGTGGGCTCGGGTACCCGGCCCCACAGCCCTCCAACAAGGTGGGTACCCCACCCTCGGACTCACCGGAACTGCTCCGAGTGCCCGTCAGGAGTTACTTCCGGTTTTCGCGGCGCTCCGCCCCGCGGGGGGGTCTCACCCGGCCCCTGCAGGGCATTAACTCCGCCCCAGTGCCACTCGTCAGACTCCGCCTCTCTTCTTCAGCCAATCTGTGGTCACCGGAGCCGCGCAGGCGCGGCCAGGCTCTCGGGCTACCGAAGTGGTGTGAGCGTCTGCGAACGTGGTCTCGCGGGTGGTGACGTCATCGAGGCGAGAGAGGCGGGGCCGTGGACGGTGGGCGGGAGGCTGCCAACGGTTTTGAGCTTAGAGGGAGGCGCGAGACGGGGGATCTCAGGGGAGGAGGCCAATAGCTTGCTCCCCACTTTGGCAAATTGGGGGCTGAGAACTGGAAGTGTGGAGAACAGTCGGGACCAGGTGGTCGTCGGCTAGGCTTGAGGGCAGCGTGCTTTTTAGGGACGACTAAGGGCGTGACTCAGGGTTCACAAGATTTCTTTTGGGGTGGTCGGGAGGGAGAGAGTCTAGGGAGCGAAGCTTGCTATGGCTTTCTTGCTAGGAGGGGTCGGAGGGAAAGTACAAGGGAGCTGACCCTGGGTAGAACGGGTGAAGGGGTGGGGGAGCGTGAGGTTCCTGCCTCTCTTGAGATTGGAGCCAGTTGAGGGACAAGTAGGGCAGCGGGACAGAAATTGGGCCCCTAGGGGATTTGGGTCCGTTTCCTTTGGGACGTTTTGGGTGTAAGAACTTAAGAGCTCAGTTGACCGGGGATAGACTGTGCCGGAGTTGATCTGCAACTTCCAGCACTCGTAGTTAGGAAGAGGAGCTTCAGCGGTGCCGTTGTCCCTCAGTAGGTCGTCTGTCCGCACCCCCTCTGCGCTACACCTTCTTAACGCTATTCCCAGGAGCTGGGAAAAGGGATGCTTTGGCCCAGTCCCATGGCCCCTGGAGCTGGTGGAAACCTTTCCTCTAACCAGAAAGCCTCGATACCTTTAATTCACCAAGGATCCCTGACGTGGAGTCTTCCTGCCTTCTCCCAAATCTTTCTCCGTGAACTTTTCCTCCTGGACTTTGCTAAAGTAGAACCTCCCAGCTCTCTGCTGTCTCCGGTCATCTCTTCCCTGTGTTCATGGCAACATCAGCTGCCAGCACCAGTTCACCCCTCGGGGCGGAGGATCTCCTGAGTGATTCATCAGAACCCCCTGGGCTCAACCAAGTGTCCTCCGAAGTGACCTCCCAGCGCTATGCTTCTTTGCGCCTCAGCCGACAGGCGGAGGCCACAGCCCGAGCCCAGCTGTATTCACCCTCCACCTCCCCGCCTCGTGAGGCGTTAGACGGCTTAGCCCAAGAATTGACTCGAAGCTTGTCAGTCGGATTGGAAAACAACTTAAAGAAAAAGGTGAGGGAAGTGTGTCTTGGGGACCACTGGAGCACTAGACACCAGAGAGCCTTAGGATTGGGGTTGGTTTAAAAAAAAAAAAAAAAAGCTTTAATGAGATTTGAACCGTTAATGTTGGATTTCTTTTTTTTTTTTTTTTTTTTTTTTTTTTGAGACAGAACCTCACTCTGTCGCCCAGGCTGGAGTGCAGTGGTGTGATCTAGGCTCACTGCAGTCTCTGTCTCCCGGGTTCAAGCGATTCTCCTGCCTCAGCCTCCTGAGCAGATAGGACTAAAGGTGCGAGCCCCCATGCCCAGCTAATTTTGTATTTTTAGTAGAGATGGTGTTTCACCATATTGGTCAGGCTGGTCTCGAACTCCAGACCTTGTGATCTGCCTGCCTTGGCCTCCCAAAGTGCTGGGATTACAAGCATGAGCCACCGCCCTCAGCCCTTCATATTCCTTTTAACTATGTAGGCAGTCATGCTTATGAGGGAGGGAGTGACCTGGGATACCATAATTTGAAAATTATGAAACTTCCTAGTGTTTTTTTGTGAGAGACATCTCTGCTCCAAGTAGATAGTGCAAACCTATGGGGTAGGTTGGTGAGCTCTTCTCTGTGCACTGGGAATGGGTAAAATTTCTTAATCCCAAGAGGGGAGTAGGGACTTAGGATACCAGCTTAGATCCTTCCAGCTCAACACTATTTTGATAGTATGGTTCAAACTTTGGCATATACATCAAGACATAGTTTAGTCTATTACAACATGTTACAGAGAAGATAGTTATTAATATTGTATAGAAAAGGTATCATAGTCAGCCGGGTGCAGTGGCTTACGCTTTAATCGCAGCACTTTGGGAGGCCAAGGCGGGTGGATCACGAGGTCAGGAGTTCAAGACCAGGCTGGCCAAGATTGTGAAATCCCATCTCTACTAAAAAAAATACAAAAAATTGGCTGGGCATGGTGGCATGCGCCTGTAATCCCAGCTACTTCGGAGACTGAGGCAGAGGTTGCAGTGAGCCGAGATCACACCACTGCACTCCAGCCAGTGCAACAGAGCGAGATTCCATCTCCAAAAAAAGAAAATATGTCATAGTCAATTTGCAGACTGGTTAGGTCTTCCAGAGTCTGAAAATGATTGCCACAAGCCACACAGTCCTTAGATTTGTTCTTGAATTGGCAAGAATCACCACAACTCTTGTCTTACACCTCCCTGAAGTCTTTCTGGCTTCTGTAGTATTTGAGTTTCTGACTCATGGTTAGGACATCCCTTATTGGATCTGTTTGGTTTTTCTTGTTTTCCAAAGTGCTGGAGTGAAAATTCTACCCCAGCAGTGAGTAGGAGACAGACAATGCAGATGGTATCTGATTTCCATGTGGCTTTTTTCTAGGATGGTTCTAAGCATATCTTTGAGATGGAAAGTGTTCGGGGTCAGCTCCAGACCATGCTCCAAACCTCACGTGATGCAGCCTATCGTGAGTAAACTCCTTCCTTAGAACTATGAAGGAGAACCTAGATTTAAGGGGTGAGAGAAAGTGGACAGAGGAACCAGTAATCCCAGGAAAACCTCTGACCAAGAGATTTCAGGAGAAAAGTCTCCTGTTCTTTGGGAGACGGGGTGAAGGAACGAGGGAACTGAAAGGAAGGCCTTCAAGTGGCCCCTGTTTTGGTCATTACCTGACCCTGGCTTTGGGGTCCCTCTGGCTGCCTGCAGGGGATCCCCTCATTCCTGGCACTGGCTCAGAGAGACGGGAAGAAGACTCCTTTGACAGTGATAGCACAGCCACCTTGCTCAAGTGAGTTCTCCCCTAGCTTGCTTGCTTACTTGGAAATCCAAATGTTTTGCTCCTTATTTCTCCCGTTATTGCCTTTGTACCTCTTAAGAACCCAAGAGGCTTATCACTTAGCTTTCAGTTTTCATCCTTTTTCTCCTGTCTCCTACCCTGTTTGCTCCTTCAGGAACACGCACATTTGCTGCCTCGTACCCAGTTTTGCTGCCTCGTACCAAGTTTTATCTTAACCTCCAGTCATTCTTCCCCCTAGGAGAGTTAGCTTGTTTCTGCTGAAACCTTTAAGTGAATCACAAACGTGTTATTTATGGAGCTATGGTTATATAGCTTTATGACTTTGGGCAAGTCTCTTGCCCTCTCTGGGTCTCAGTTTCCTTATTTGTAAAATATCACAGTTAGACAAATGGATTCCAAAAGCTTTCCCAACCCTAACATTCTCTACCTGATTTGCTCAGCACCCGGCCCCTGCAAGACTTGTCTCCATCTAGCTCAGCCCAAGCCTTGGAGGAGCTGTTTCCCCGCTACACTAGCCTTCGGCCAGGGCCTCCACTCAATCCACCAGATTGTCAGGGGCTGAGAGATGCATTGGATTCAGAGCATACCCGCCGCAAGGTAAGATGCAAAGGCTTCCTTTTGAAAGCAGCAAAGATTAGAAAGAGAGAACCCGAGTGTTGAAAAGGGCTGAGGGTTAAGAGCCTGAAAGCTGAGACTTTGCTCAAATGTTTTTCTTGGGAGGCCTTTTTTGACCATCCGTCTTATACGGCATCACCTCCCCTCTAAGCAGTCGGTCAGATCACCCTCTTATTTCCTTCATATAGATTATCGCTTTGATAGATCTCATTTTTTTCTTCCCTTTAAAATCTAAAATCCATGAGGATCAGAATGTTGTCTTAGTACTGGCTGCCTGAAGTCTAGAATATACCTAACACAGAAACACTCTGTGTTTGTTGAATGGACACAAACTCTGCTAGCTTGTGCACAGGATTTACAGCTACTGATGATATACTGAGCTTTAGCTCTGTGAGCCTCTGCCTTAACATCTGAAGGGGACGGAGAAATAGACAAAGCATAGGAAAAGTCAAAAAATTGGTTGCCATTTTTGGAAGTATCTCTTTCTCTCTCTCTCTCTCTTTTTTTTTTTTAATTCTAACCAGTGTAATGTGATACTATTTTTTTTTTTTTTCTGAGACAGAGTCTTGCTCTGTCTCCCAGGCTGGAGTGCAGTGGCGTGATCTCAGCTCACTGCAACCTCTACCTCCCAGGTTCAAGCGATTCTCCTGCCTTAGTCTCCCCAGTAGCTGGAATTACAGGCACACGCCACCATGCCTGACTAATTTTTTGTGTTTTTACTAGAGACAGGGTTTCACCATGTTGGCCAGGCTGGTCTTAAACTCCTGACCACGTGGTCTCCCAGCACCTCCCAAAGTGCTGGGATTACAGTCGTGAGCCACTACGCCAGGCCTTCTTTCTCTATTTCAAATTCCTTGGGCATGAATGAAAAACTTTCCCCTTTATCCTTGCTGTATTTACTCATTGTGTCCAGTGAGCTTCTGAAAGTAGGAGTAACTTTGTACATTTTGCTGTGTGGGCTGCTGCACCTCTGCCAAAAGGTTTATGGGATTTTTACTCAGGAGATCCAGGAAAAGGAGAAGGCTGGAATCTAAGCACTTACCTCCTGAAAAGGTAGAGAAACATGTTGGAGATCTAGCTTCAGGGTTCTTCCTTCAGAATTTTCCTGATTCTCCCTCTCCAAACCTATTCTGTTCTTGGGACCCAGGCTTCTTGGCTCCAGCCCATTCCCCCGTAGAGGAGCTGGAAAGTGTGGTGCTGTGGTCATACAAAAGATGGGCAACACCCAGACATCTCACCCTTTTCTCCAGCATTGTGAGCGCCATATTCAGAGCCTGCAGACCCGAGTGTTAGAGCTACAGCAACAATTAGCCGTGGCTGTGGCTGCCGACCGCAAGAAAGATATCATGATTGAACAACTGGACAAGGTGCCAGGGTAGCAAAATATGGGTGGGTCTCTCCATGAAGAGCATTAAAGAATAATAAATAAGGGGGTGGCCAACCAATGTTTCTTGGTGCATGCTGAGAGCTGGGCAAGAGGTTGGTTTTCTGACTGTTGGGAGAAGATGGCTGTTGACCCTGCCCCTATGGGTAGAAAGAGAGCAAAAGAGTTATTTTGAAATTCCATCTTACTTGCCCTACCTGAGACCCTGGCCCGTGTGGTGGAGGGCTGGAACCGGCATGAGGCTGAGCGGACAGAGGTTCTCAGGGGACTTCAAGAGGAACGCCAGGCAGCAGAGCTCACCAGAAGCAAGCAGCAGGAGGTGAGTGCCCTGGAGCATATGGCATTAGAACCTGAGTCACAGATCTCTAGATGGGAAGGGGCAGTAATAGCTCTAGAATTAGGGTTCCCAACAGATTGACCTCAATCTTGTTATAGCTGTCCTGACATTTCTTCTCATCCCTCCTTTCTTCTCCTTTAACTGTTTCTGCTGTCCAGCTTGCATCATCAATGTCTTCTTAATTTTTCCCACACCGTGTCGTCTTCTGCTTGGCCCCTTAGTCATTTAGTTATCACTGAAGTTTCAAGTTTACATTGTCAATGCTTTATAAAATATAAAACACAGAGATTTCCCATGGTTCCTCTGCCCTGTATTCCTCTCTTCCTGAAAGACAGTAACCCGGCTGGAACAAAGCCTTTCTGAGGCCATGGAGGCCCTGAATCATGAGCAGGAAAGTACCAGACTGCAGCAACGGGAAAGAGAGACATTGGTGAGGAGATTGGACTGGGTTAATTCCACTGGAAGCTAACCTCAGATGATTTGCATGCCTCGGCCTCCCAAAGTGCTGGGATTATAGGCATAAACCACTGCGCCTGACTGTGCCAGTCAACTATTGTGTTTTTGGGCTTTTTTTGGTATATTTTTGAGATGGAGTCTTGCTCTGTCACCTAGGCCGGAGTGCAATGGTGCGATCTTGGCTCACTGCAACCTCTGCCTCCCAGGTTCAAGTAATTCTCCTGCCTCAGCCTCCCAAGTAGCTGGGATTACAGGCACCCACCATCACGCCCAACTAATTTTTATATTTTTAGTAGAGACAGGATTTCACCATGTTGGACCAGGCTAGTCTCTGAACTCCTGACCTCAGGTGATCCACCTGCCTCGGCCTCCCAAAGTGCTGGGATTACAGGCATGAGCCATTAGGCCTGGCCTAATTATTATGTTTTTAATGGGCATAATTCTCAGCAGGCACATTGTATGAGGGTCAGAGGGCAGATTGCTGGTCTGTTAAGGGCCTACTAAGGATCCTGGTTTTCTTCTGAGTCTATAGGAAGAGGAAAGGCAAGCTCTGACCCTGAGCTTAGAGGTAGAGCAGCAGCGGTGCTGTGCGCTGCAGGAAGAGCGGGATGCAGCTCGGGCTGGGCAACTGAGTGAGCATCGAGCGTTGGAGGCTCTTCAGGCTGCCCTAGAAGAAGAACGGCAGACCTGGGCCCAGCAAGAGCTCCAGCTTAAGGAACACTACCAGGCACTGCAGTTGGAGAGCCAGGCTCACCTGGAAAGAGAGAAGGTAAAAGTGGCAGTTGGAAGAGTTGAGGAACTAGAGACTAGATGAAGGGCAAAATAATTGAATGGGATGGAATGTTAGAATAGGGGATATACATAGGCAGGAGTGGAGAGAGCCATATGTGGAAGACAGGGTTGAGAGTGTGGGGCCAGCAGGAAGGGCTGGGGGTATTGAATACATGATAGGCCAAAGAATGAAATTAAACAGTGATGGGGAAATAGGACAAATGGGAGGAGAGAGGAAGCTTGGGCTTTAGGGCTTGGGAGGATGACTTGGGGAGTGGAGGTAACCAGGAGATAGGAAATGAGGTATGTACTTATATTTAATTTGTCTTTCATAGGAGAAGGGTCAGAGGGAAGCCCAGGCAGCCCGGGAGGCCCAGCACCAGTTGGCATTGGTGCAGTCTGACATGCGGCGGTTGGAAGGAGAGCTGGACACGGCTCGGAGAGAGAGAGATGCCCTGCAGCTGGAAATGAGCTTGGTGCAGGTCAGAAGGTAGAGGGGTTCTGGAGGGTTTTTCTGAGAGCAGTAGATCTGAGGCCAGGGGACCCTGCAGGAGTTGTGGCAGACACTCCCATTTCAGGTATTTGGGGTTTAATTCCATTAACGGTTTCTATGTAGTATGGGTGATTTTCTGTCCTAAACTCAGAGCCGTTTCTCACTGAGTGACCATTTCCCACAATATCAGACCGATCTAGTGTTACTTTTAGGATTAAATGGATTTCAATTTATTAAAGATACCTAATGTTATTTTAAGAGATGACACCACACTTAGCGGGTTGACAGAGCAGGTGGAAGCATTTGTCAGAGACTGGATTCCAATAGTAACAGTATGCTTTGGAACTCTCATTACTTCAGTAACTTGTTCTAATTTCTCTGAGTAGGTCAGGGACCAAAGAGGGCAATGATTGTTTAATTTACTTATGAAACTTCCATAACAGCACATGGCCTGGCACAGAATTGGACTAGAAAATTGTCAGATATAATTACACTTTGAAAAACACTTTCCATCTAGCTAGCACATTGAATTTTAAATTCAAACTAGTCAGACTCTTGCCATGGAATAGAGCAGGGGTTGGTGAAGTTTTTCTGTAAAGGGCCAGACAGTAAATATTTTTAGCTTTGTGGGTTGTATGGTCTCAGTTGCAACTACCCAACTCTGCTATTATGCCACAAAAGTAGCTAAAACTGTACATTAACAAATGGGCACAGCTGTATTCCAGTATAACTTATATAAACAGGCAATGGAGGGCTGAATGGGCTGTAGTTTCTGATCTCTAGAATAGAGGAAAGAATTGGAGAGAGCTGTGTTCCAGCCCACGGTGGAGACACAGCGTTGAAGAGGAAAGAGTACTGCATGAGGACTTAGGGCACTCAGTTCTACTTCTAGCTGGTATTTTGACCTTTGTGGGCCTCTGTTTTTATGTATAAAATGTGTGTTAAGGACAAATTGATTAATTTTCCAGATGTAAGTCAGTCTGAGAGGCTATGTTCCTTATAAATGGCTAACTTAAGGAAGTACCCAATTACTTGGTCAGTGAGGCCAGCATTTGAGAAACACACTCCTTTGGTCTGGTGTGGTGGCTAACACCTGTAATCCCAGCACTGTGGGAGGCCAAGGCAGATGGATCACTTGAGTCCAGGAGTTTGAGACCAGCCTGGCCAACATGGTGAAACCCCCTCTCTCCTAAAAATACAAAAATTAGCCGGGTGTGGTGGCATGCACCTGTAGTCCCGGCTGCTCAGGAGGCCGAGGCAGGAGAGTCGCTTGAACTCGTAAGGTGGAGGTTGCAGTGAGCTGAGATTGTGCCCTTGCACTCCAGCCTGGACAACAGAATGAGACGCCATTAAAAAAAAAAAAAAAATTGACCTAGGGTGTCAGCTGTAACAATGAGATCACATTCAATAAAGACTAAAAAAGCAGCCAGGTGTGGTGGCACATGCCGTAATTCCAGCACTTTGAGAGGCCGAGGCGACCGGATTGCTTGAGCCCAGGAGTTCAAGACCATCCTGGGCGTAACATGGCAAAACCTAAACTCTGCTGAAAATACAAAAAATTAATTGGGTATACTGGTGTGCACCTGTAGTCCCGACTACTTGGGAGGCTGAGGTGGGAGGATCAACTGAGCCCTGGAAGTGGAGGCTGTAGTGAGCTGTGATCACACCTCTGCACTCCATGGGTGACAGGAGTGAGACCCAGTCTCAAAAAAAAAAAAAAAGACTAAGAAAGGGCCAGGTGTGGTGGCTCATGCCTGTAATCCCAGCATTTGGGGAGGCTAAGGTGGGAGGATTGCTTGAATCTAAGAGTTTGAGACCAGCCTGGGCAACATAATGAGACCCAACCTCTACAAAAAATGAAAAGATTAGCTGGGCGTAGTGGCACAAGTTTGTAGTGCCACTACTCTGAAGGCTGAGGAGGGAGAATTACTGGAGTCTGGGAGGTCAACACTGCAATGAGCCATGATCACACCACTGCACTTTAGGCTGAGCAACAGAGCAAGATCCTGTCTAAAAGCAGGGGCTGAGAAAATAACCGCTATTTGGATTTAGAAATTGAGTTCTTTGCAGTAAAGTACTATACGTGGAAATCAGATTTTAGTGATTTGAAGAAGGACAATGGGTGAGAAAATAGAGACACTTATAGGCTGACTGCTTAAGGAGGAAGAGGCACTGACATTTATTGAATGCCTACTGGCTTTCAGGTTTTGTACTCGGGGTATGTTATCTCAGACACATAGAATGAATTTGATTGCTCTAGTGAACATTTATTTTAGCTAAGAAATTTATATCTTTCACCTAAAGTCATTTTCACTTTGATGTATTTTTCTTCTTCTTTTTTTATTTTTATTTTTTCTCCCCTCCCCTCCCTCCTCACTTTGATGTATTTTAAGGTGTGAATATCTCATGGTTTAATAAGGAAGGGGAACATCTTTCACTCCTTCATTCACACAAGAATAAAGGCAAAATTCTTGTTCTTCATCTCCTATGAGGGGGAAAGTTGGTACTGGATTTTGTCTACGTTATATCCTCCATCCTCTTCTAAGTCCAAACAGATTTGAGCTGACTGTTATCCCACCTTCTTCACTCCCAGGCCCGGTATGAAAGCCAGCGGATCCAGATGGAGTCGGAGCTGGCTGTGCAGCTGGAGCAGCAGGTGACAGAGCGGCTGGCGCAGGCTCAGGAGAGCAGCCTACGGCAAGCAGCCTCCCTCAGGGAACAGCACAGGTACACAGGAGTCACTGGGTGTCACTTCTCCCAGCCACAGCAGGAAGTTGTCCTGAATCATTGTTCAGGCCCATATTCTCTTTGCCATTGTCCAGCACTGTGGCTCCCAGGGTGCGCTAACTCCCATCAGCAAAGACCTGAGCCAGAAGTGCCTGGGAATTTTCAACCCATAGGGCGTAGCCCTTAACCAAGAACTGATGGGTGTAGGATGATAGATGGTCCACTCCCTTGCTGGACCATGCTGATGTATGACCTGTGCTGTCTCCAGAGCTGCTCTGTGGGACTGAGCCTCCTCCTAGCCCAGCCTCACTTCTCCTCACCCCCATTCTGCTGCCAAAATTTCCTGGAAATGCTTCTGAAATAAGTTTCTTTATTTTCTCTGCTTCTGAGGAACCCATCCTAAGACCCCCCAGCTTTGTCCTTGTCTCTTCCTGTGCCATGGCCAGGCTGGCTGACTGGCTATCTGGGTCACTATCACATGCACACATGATGTCTTTTTCTCAGTTGGTCACTTCTGTCTCCAGTCTCAGGCTTCTTTTCCTACCTGTGCCCTTTAGGAAGCAGCTGCAGGACCTCAGTGGACAGCACCAGCAGGAGCTGGCCAATCAGCTGGCTCAGTTCAAGGTGGAAATGGCAGAACGAGAGGAACGGCAGCAGCAGGTGGCTGAGGACTATGAGCTCAGGTACTGGTCTCTGGAGTGCCCCTGTCAGGCCCCAACCCCTTTCCCATGGGTAGAGCCCAAACTGGGAAGAGTAAGGAGCTGCTCCCTTGGTCGATCTGTCTCCTCTACATGGGCCCCAGGTCCTTTCAGAATGTCTGACATTCCCTTCTGGCTCTTTATAGCCTCCAAGTCTTTTCTTCCTTAAAGGCCCTGAGTCACCTCTCCTTTCTTTTCTTCAGACTGGCCCGTGAGCAAGCACGAGTACGTGAACTTCAGAGTGGGAACCAACAGCTGGAGGAGCAGCGGGCGGAGCTGGTGGAACGTCTGCAGGCCATGCTGCAGGCCCACTGGGATGAGGCCACTCAGCTGCTCAGCACCACTCTCCCGTCGCCCAACCCGCCAGTAGGCATTGCCCCTTGAGCTAAGCTTCTCAGTTGTGTTCTATTATTTTTATTTTTATTTTTGAGATAGGGTCTCACTCTTGCTCAGGCTGGAGTGTACTGGTGCAATCATAGCTCACTGCAGCCTCGAACTCCTGTGCTCAAGTGATCCTCCCACCTCTGACTCCCAAAGTGCTGGGATTCTAGGCATGAGCTACCATGCCCAGCAAGAATTGTGTTCTAGATTCCTTCTTTGGAAATCTAGCTCCCTCCCAAGGGAAGTACTAAGTTCAGCTCCCAAGGCCTACGTCGGGGGAAAAAAATCAGTGGACTTTTCCAAATAATAACTGCCTCAACAAGGTAAATCCTTTTTTCCATGGCCATAGCTTACTGGCATAACTCTTGTCTCCCAGTCCTAAGAAGTGACAAATAAAATGTAATAGTTTTGTGGAGGGATAGCTGAATTAATTATGAGGGAAAGGGCCAAAAATTGTTCCCAAGTCCTGCCCCAGAGTAGAGTAGGAAGTCTCACTTCCTAGCTCTTCATATGTTGATACTTCCCACTTTCATTATAAAATTCTAGCCAGGTGTGGTGGTACACCTGTAATCTCAGCTATATGGGAGGCTAAAGCAGAAAGATCACTTGAGCTCAGGAGTTCAAGACCAGCCTAGGCAACATAGTGAAAAGAAGAAACACTTAGGACATTTTAATTTTAATTTTATTTATTTAAATATTTATTATTTATTATTTATGTATTTATTCGAGACAGGGTCTCACTCTGTTGCCCAGGCTGGGCTCAAGCAATCATCCCTCCTCAGCTTCTTGAGTAGCTGGGACTACAGGCATGTGACACTGCCTCCAGCTAATATTTAAAATTTTTGTAGAGATGGAGTCTCTCTGTGTTGCCAGGGCTGGTCTCAAACTCCTAGCTTCAAATGATTCTCCCACCTCAGTCTCCCAAAGTGTTGGGATTACAGGTGTGAGCTACTGCACCCAGAAATTTATAATCTTATTAAAGTGTTTGTACGTCTTATCTCTTTAAACCTACTATGCCTTCTTTCTGCCTCTGTCCTGGTCAGGTTCCTCCTGCTGGACCTTCCAGCCCTGGGCCTCAGGAGCCAGAGAAGGAGGAGAGGAGGGTCTGGACTATGCCTCCTGTGGCCGTGGCCCTGAAGCCTGTATTGCAGCAGAGTCGGGAAGCAAGGGACGAGCTACCTGGAGTGCCTCCTGTTCTTTGTAATTCATCCTCAGATCTCAGCCTCCTGTTGGGCCCCTCTTTTCAAAGCCAGCATTCTTTCCAACCCCTGGAACCCAAACCAGATGTCACTTCATCCACAGGTAACTGGGGACAGAAGTCACTGGGGTTCCCCTTCTGTGCATGAATTGGTTCCCTCTTCCATATCTTGCTTTCTATCTGATATTTGAGCATTTAGTTTCCCAGATGTCTTTAGTGATGACAAGTTGCAAGAAGCAGAAATCTGCTTATGTTTGTCCAGATAAAGAGATTGAGATCTCATGGAAATGTGACATTGCTGGACTTAATGAGAACTGGAGTTGGGAACAGGGGCACTATTGGGAACTGAGGCAGCCAGCTGGCCCTTCTCTGTGTAGTCTCCTAGTCCGCCTCTCCTGCACATCTACTCTTAGACTAGCATTCTCTCTCAGTCAAGGTTCTTGCCCCTCGTAACTTCACTTTACACATGGGTTTGACCAGCTGTGACACTGACTCTAGCTGAGCCTCTAGACATTTATAGAGACATCGGTGTCTCAGTTTTTTAAGTCCAGTTTAAAGATGCCGTCTGACTGGATTGGCTGACCTTGGGTGTGGTGTCCACCCCTAGTTTAATGTCAGCTGTGATTTGAGTGGATGAGGGTGTTCTGTGTGGTACAAACATGACAACCTAGGTTGAATTAAAAATGGGGGATGGGGCCAGGTGCAATGGCTCACACTGGTAATCCTAGCACTTTGGGAGGCTGAGGTGGGAGGATGGTTTGATGCCAGGAGTTCCAGACCAGTCTGACCAATATAGTGAGACCTCATCTCTACAAAAAATTTAAAAAGCAGCTGGGTGTGATGGCACACACTTGAATTTCCAGCTACTCAGGGAGGCTGAGACAGAAGGATTGCTTGAGCCAAGGAGTTTGGGGCTATAGTGAAGTAAGACGGTGCCATTGTACTCCAGCCTGGGCCACACAGCAAGACTGTCTAAAAAAAAAAAAAAAGAGAGATTAGTTTTATCATAATTAAAATCTTTAAAATTATGTGATGATAATAAAAGAATGGGGGCATATTCTGGGGAAGAGATCAGAACATGTATGTTACTCATTTCCATTCTTCAGGGAGTTAGTGAGGTTATATTTAGAGTTTGAGTATCACAGCTATCTTCTTCTGCCCATATTTCTGCCTTAGAATTCAGCTGTGTCTTCTCCCAGTCACCTCCAACCCTTCCCTCTCCAGTTCCTTTAAACCTCCATCTTCATCTTCTAGCTGTGATGTTCCTCCTACATTTAACAGGCCCCTTTCTTCTGAGTATTAGGTGAGTTGATTTGTGGAGGAGCCCCTTCCCCCTTGAACACATTTCCACCCACCCACACCTGTTTCCCTTTGTAGCTGAGGCCTTCTCTGCACTCGGGGCCTTCCATCCGGATCATAGGGCAGAACGGCCATTCCCTGAGGAAGATCCTGGACCTGACGGGGAAAGCCTGGTAAAGCAAGGGCTGCCACCTGCCCAATTGGAGGGCCTCAAGAATTTCTTTCACCAGGTAAGAGAGATTCCACCAAGACTAGCTCATTTTCTTCTTCCCTTACTCCTTTCCTTTTTCTGCTCTAGAAATCCAGGACTCTGGCCTCATTCCCTGTTTATGACTAACTCTTCGTTCTAGCTTTTTCTCTCTGATCCCTAGGCCTTTTTCTCTATCAGTTCCTGGGGAACTTGACTATCTTATTCACCCATAGTTGCTGGAGACAATGCCCCAGAACAGTGAGAACCCTTCTGTCAACCTGTTGCCGCCTAAGTCTGGTGAGTTCCAACTCTGAAGACAGTTGGGGCTGAGGCCTGGGGAAGATGGGAGTTGGTTATCTAGAATGCATTTTTAGGAGCTGGTAAAGTGATAAAGCCTTATAAATACTGGGTGGTGGGACTTCCTTAACTCTTTGCCCATTTTCTGATTCTTGGCTCTCTTTCCTTTTGCTAGGTCCTCTGACTATCCCATCTTGGGGGGAAGCCCCTCAAGTGCCACGTCTTCCACCCCCTGTCCACAAAACCAAAGTTCCCTTAGCCATGGCATCTAGTCTTTTCCGGGTCCACGAGCTTCCCTCCTCCCATTCACAAGGCAATGGCCCCAGCAGTGGTTCCCCAGAGAGAGGTGAGCAGGTCCTGGTTTACTAGGAGAAGAAAGAGGGACAGTCCTGCATGTGCATCCGGTACAGGCACTTAAGGCCCTTCTGAATTCCTGAGGAAATGGGCTGAGGGCTGGGGAGAGGGGCCCTAGGATGAGGCCTGTGATTATTGATATCTCTCAGGTGGAGATGGGCTCACATTCCCAAGGCAGCTGATGGAGGTGTCTCAACTGCTGCGACTCTACCAGGCTCGGGGCTGGGGGGCTCTGCCTGCTGAGGATCTGCTGCTCTACCTGAAGAGGCTGGAACATAGCAGGTACAAGCCTTGGAAGAAGGAGAAAGGATTCAGAGGGTGGAAGCTGGATTATGCAGAGTGGAGTGGGTGTATTGTACACTGAATAGAATTGTTGTCCTTTTCTGGGGAGGAAAGTGAAGGATGAGATGTGGATCCACAGATCTCCTTCTCTTACTGCCCACACCTTTCTTTTGTCTCTTCTTTCTATTGCTGTTTTCTTCTAAACAAAAAAATCTTTTCTCTGGGTCTCTCTACCTTCGTTTTTTCCTCTTTACCTGACAGCTCAAAAGCCAGCATCCTAGAATTTTGACTAGCTGGTATAACTCATTGTTTGTTTCTGCTAATGTCTCCAGTCATTTGATGCTCAGGTCTATCAAGTTTGTTCTTATTCTTAAGAGACAGAATCCCATATTGGGTAATCAGGGGGACAGAGCTCCCTATCGTCATACCTTTGATTTGTGTGGCAGGACTGATGGCCGAGGGGATAATGTCCCCAGAAGGAACACAGACTCCCGCTTGGGTGAGATCCCCCGGAAAGAGGTGAGGGAAAGTCAGGCAAGGATCAGGGGAGAAAAGGGCTCTCACTGACCAGTTCCTTCACCTCTGCACACTCCCTAGCTGGCTGTGCTCTCATTGCCTGCCCCCTCCATTCTGTCCCTGCATTCTGTAGCCTGGCCTTTCCTCCCTGTGGACTCATCTGGCCCTCTCCACTTGCCTTTCCTCAGTAGGGTGGGGAATTGAGAGGATCTGATGCTGACTTCTTCCTCACTCTTCCATCAACTCTCAGATTCCCTCCCAGGCTATCCCTCGCCGCCTTGCTACGGCCCCCAAGACTGAAAAACCTCCCACGCGAAAGAAAAGTGTGCACCCTCCCTCAAGTAGCATGAGGAGCCGGGGGGGAGTCTGGAGATGAGCCCCCTACCCTCTCTCCTCTTCTTTGTTCTCTCGTTGTTGTTATTTTAATAAATGCTCAGTAGTCTGTATCAGAGTCTCTGGCTCATAGGAATTTGGAAAATGGAGGTTTTGTAGGAAATCACTTTGTAAAGAAACCACATTTGGTTTGAGTATTTTTTTTTATATGTTATGTGTTTATATGTCATTTCTGTGGGAAAAGACATGAATGCTTTGGAAGATGGTTTATGACAAGATTTTGGAAGTTGGAACGGCTGAGATTCAGTGGGTAAAGGCTAAAACCTCCGAGCAATGAACTCTGGTTGGTAGTGGAATTATGGGTGATTCTTACTTTTTTAATATATTTCTGTATTTTCCAAATTTTCTAAGACAAGTATATGTTACTTTAATAATCAGAAAAGACCCAAACTTTTCTTTCTTTTTTTGAGATGGAATTTCCCTCTTGTTGCTCAGGCTGGAGTGCAATGGTGTGATCTTGGCTCACTACAACCTCTGCCTCCTGGGTTCAAGAGATTCTCCTGCCTCAGCCTCCTGAGTAGCTGGGATTACAGGCATGCACCACCACACCCAGCTAATTTTGTATTTTTAGTTGAGACGGGGTTTCTCCATGTTGGTCAGGCTGGTCTCGAACTCCTGACCTCAGGTGATCCATCTGCCTCAGCCGCCCAAAGTGCTGGGATTACAGGTGTGAGCCACCATGCCCGGCTAAAACCCATACTTTTAATAAGAGCAAGTTATTGTATAAAGAGTTTGAGTTAAAATGTGGTTGATGGGGAGAAAGTTTTCTCTTTTAAGGGAAAATAATTCTCACAGGTTGCATTGGTAGGATTCAGATTGGCAGATTCTACTGTAGCCAGCAGACATGTTGTTGCTATAGTTTTCACTCTTATGGCTTTAAAACATGTATAAAAGATTAGAGTGCTGGGTCCTAATTGAAACTAAAGAGTTTCTGCACAGCAAAAGAGACTATCAACAGAGTAAACAGACAAGTTACAGAATGGGAGAAAAATATTCTCAAACTATGCATTTGACAAAGGTCTAATATCCAGAATCTACTAGGAACTTAACAAGGAAAAAACAAACAACTCCATTAAAAAATGGGCAGATGACATGAACAGACACTTATCAAAAGAAGACGTGCAAGCGTCCAACAAACATTTGAAAAAATGCTCATTACTAATCATGAGAGAAATGCAAATCAATTTAATGCAAAATCCCACAATGAGATACCATCTCAAACCTATCAGAATGACTTATTAAAAAGTCAGAAAACAACAGATGCTGGTGAGGCTGCAGAGAAAAGGGAATGCTTAAATAGCTGTCAATGGGAATGTAAGTTGAGCCACTGTGGAAGCAATTTAGAGATTTCTTTTAAAACTTAAAACACTCACGCCTACAATCCCAGCACTTCAGGAGGCCAAGGTGGGTGGATCATGAGGTCAAGAGATCGAGACCATCCTGGTCAACATGGTGAAACCCCATCTCTACTAAAAATACAAAAATTAGCTGGGCACGGTGGTGCACACCTGTAATCCCAGCTACTCAGGAGGCTGAGGCAGGAGAATTGCTTGAACCCAGGAGGCGGAGGTTGCGGTGAGCCAAGATCACGCCATTGCACTCCAGCCCGGGTAATGAGCGAAACTGTCTTAAAAAAAAAAACAACAACAACTTAAAACAGAGTTATTATTTGACCAGTGACAACATTACTGGGTATATACCCAAAGAAAAATAGGTCATTATACCAACAAGACACATGCATTTTATGTTCATTACTACACTGTTCACAATAGCAAAGACATGAAATCAACCTAGATGCCCAACAGGGGTGGGCTGCATAAAGAAACTGTACATGTACACCATGGAATACCACACAGCCATAAAAAAGCATGAAATAATGTCCTTTATAGCAACATGGATGGAGCTGAAGGCTATAAACCTAAACACATTAATGCAGGAACAGAAAACTTCATACCACATGTTCTCCTAAGTGGGAGGTAAACATTGAACACACATGGACATAGACATGGGAATAACAGACACTGCAGACTCCCAGAGCAGGGAGGCTGAAAAACTACCTAATGGTGCCATGCTCACTACCTATGTGCAATATACCTGTGTAACAAGCCTGCACATGTATGCCCTGTGTCTAAAAGAAAAGTTGAAATTGAGGCAGGGTGCAATCCCTTTGGAAGGCTAAGGCAGGCAGATCACTTGAGGCCAAGAGTTAGAGACCAGCCTGGCCAACAGGGTGAGACACTATAATAAAAAAATACAAAAAATTAGCTGGGCATGGTGGCAGGTGCCTGTAATCTCAGCTACTCAGGTGGCTGAGGCAGGAGAATCACTTGAACTCAGGAGGTGAGTTGAGTGAGTTGAGGTTGCAGTGAGCTGAGATTTCACCACTGCACTCTAGACTGGACAACAGTCGGACTCTGTCTCAAAAAAAAAAAAGTTGAAAAAAAGTGCTGGCAAGAAAATTAAACCATATTTATAAAACTTTCATTTTAATGCTCACTAAAATGGACAAAGAAAAACTACTAGGTGTTAAAACACATGCTCTGAATGAAGAGACCCCCTCCCACAAACAGGCTTTCTATGAGCAACATGGCTGTTTATTCTGGGTGTGGGCAGGCTAAGTCTGAAAAGAGGGTCAGCTGAGGGCGGTGGGATAGGAGTTGGTTTTATAGGTTTGGGGTAGGCAGTGGAAAGTTACAGAAGTTACAGTTTAGGGCGGTTTCACCCAAACTGGGAGGGGGTCAGAGGGTCTGGAGTCATGAGGTTGGCCAAGGTTTGTTACAAAGTCCAATTGCCTTAGTTGAGGCAGGAATAAGGAACAATATCTCAAGTTAATTAGGCACCTCAGGGGTTGGTCATTCCTTCTCCTTTTGTGGTTTTCCAGTTATTTCAGACTATTTCCAGGAACTCATCTGGAGGTATATGTGCAGGTCACAGAGGTTACTATGCAGTCCATGGCACTGTCAGCCGAAAAGACCTTACATTAAAGAAGAAAATAACATACACATGAAACTAAAAAAGGCCCCAGATTCATGGTACAAACACTGAAAAGCACAGGCAAACGTGAAGAGAGTATCCTACCTTGGGACTCACATGCAGCTCTCAGCTCTGGCACCCAGGGCAAGGTAGAGGTGATGGCAAGTACAATTCTGAAAGGCCCAGTCCTAGATGGGTGCTTGAGGGACAGAGTTTACTGGATTCTGAGAGGAAGGCAGGATCCTTCTATTTTAACCTGAGTTATTTGATTAGATCTGGAATAGACATGAGAGGATATGAATTCACAGTGTTTCATATTAATGTTTGGATTTTACGTCTGCCTAAGTAACTTTCTAGCCCCTGGGGAGGGGCAAAGGAAGAAAAGATGAGGATGAATGACCAGAAATGTGGGTTCCCTGCTCGGCTGTGTCAGGATAGCTTGATCCTCAGTCCCGCACAGGCCCACTTTCTGGCATGCTGGAGCAGAGAAACCGGAGGCACCCTGGGACAGGCACAGCCCCAGGCTTGGGGGGCTTTTCCAGCCCTGTCTGTTTACCCACATATGGGAATGTTTGCTTTTCTATTTTTTACCTCAAATGCATAACGTTGGTTTGACCAAACTCTCAGATTCACGGCACACTGTCATCATTGGTAAGTGATGGTTTGCTGCTGTTTTTAATAGTTGGTAAAGTGAACACCCAGTTCATTCTTCTCTTCTCTCATTAACTCCTGGATTCCTGCCTGCCGCTGTCAATCAGGATGCCCTACATTTTTCTTGATGTGAAGCACAGCCTGGAGTATATTTCCTAAAACAGATCAACCTCTGCCTCTTGGGTTCAAGCGATTCTCCTGCCTCAGCCTCCTGAGTAGCTAGGACTACAGGCATGCACCACCATTCCCAGCTAATTTTGTATTTTGAGTAAAGGCGAGGTTTCTCCACATTGGTCAGGCTGGTCTTGAACTCCAGGCCTCATGTGATCCACTGGTCTTAGCCTCCCAAAGTGCTGGGGATTAGAGGCACGAGCCACTGCGCCTGGCTAAAACAGCTATTTAAATAAAATCCGAAAAGAGCACCATGCTGACTTAACCATGTTATGAGGTGAGTAAAACAACGCTGATTTTTAAAGCTGTATGTATTGGCTTGGCACTATACAGATGGATCACCTGAGGTCAGGAGTTTGATACCAGCCTGGCCAATATGGCAAAACCCCATCTCTACTCCAAATACAAAAATTAGCTGGGTGTGGTGGCACACACTTGTAATCCCAGCTACTTGGGAGACTGAAGCAGGAGAATCCCTTGAACCAATGTCTTAAGACCCATATCTGGAAATGCAGCAAATTAATTTTGCTCTTCTTTCTTCCTTCCTTTTTCTTTCTTTCTTCTTTCTTTTTCTTTCTTCTTTTTTTCTTTCCTTCTTTCTTTTCTTTCTTCTTTCTTTCTTTTTTTTTTGAGATGGAGTTTTGCTCTTTTTTTCCCAGGCTGGAGTTCAATGGCACAATCTTGACTCACTGCAACCTCTGCCTCATAGGTTCAAGCAATTCTCCTGCCTCAGCCTCCTGAGTAGCTGGGACTACAGGCGTGTGCCACTATGCCCGGCTAATTTTTTTGTATTTTTAGTAGAGATGGGGTTTCACCATTTGGCCAGTCTGTTCTCGAACTCCTGACCTCAGGTGAATCCTCCCACCTTAGCCTCCCAAAATGCTAGGATTACAGGTGTGAGCCACCATACCTGACCTTTGCTCATATTTCATTGGCAAGGCTGTGATCATACAGTCACACCTGACTGCAAGAGACTTAGAAATGTAGCCTCACTGGGCTGCCATGTATGCAACTATAACTATTATTATGCAGGCAAGAAGAAGGAAGGAGAGAATGAATTTTGATAGACAACTAGCAGTATGCCCTATAGAGAGGGTAGGACTTCCTTTAGAGAAATTGAAAACTGATAATTGCTGAGATCACCCATGCAATAATTAGTGAATGTGCAGATAATGAAAAAATGCATTATATGTAAGTTAATCCAAGCTACACAATTGAACTAATTAGCTCCTATAAAACAGTTAATGCAGGAAAAAGAAAACTTAAATTCCAGTCAGCATTATTATTGGAAAATGAAAGATGGTGTGAAAAAGATGCATCCATAGAACAAGAATTCTTTGGGTAAAAAAACACCAAAAAGCAGAATGGACCCCACTAGAAATCATGCATATTAATTAGAATAAAAAATTGAGGAAATCTCCAAGTTTACAAAAGGGAGAAATTGTGTAAATGATGAGAGAAACAATAGAAAACAATGGATCCAGAACAAATATCTAGGAGAAAATACAGTAATGATTTTTAAAATAATAGAAAATTCTGATTGTGAAAGTGTGGTTGAGTAGATAACTTGACTCCTGCTGAATCACAACTAGATCCCAGTATTATGTCAATAATTTTAAAAATATTTTTTTAAAAATTTGTTTCATTTGCTGCCTGCTTTGTCTGACAAACGCTTTTTAATGCATTATTGGGTTGCTAAAAAGTAAGGGAAGTTAAACTTGCATTTCTTTCTCTTTTCTTGAGAAGGAGTTTCACTCTTGTTGCCCAGGCTAGAGTGCAGTGGCACGATCTTGACTCACCGTAACCTCCACCTCCTGGGTTCAAGTGATTCTCTTGCCTCAGCCTCCAGAGTAGCTGGGATTACAGTCATGCACCACCATGCCCAGCTAATTTTTGTATTATTAGTCAAGACAGGGTTTCACCATGTTGGTCAGACTGGTCTTGAACTCCCGACCGCACGTGATCCAGCGAGGCAACATTTTTAAGGTCCCAGTTTATCAAGGGTCATTGAGGGATGTAGAGCAATAGAAAGTCTACTTAGGCTCTGCTGGTGAGAGAACCAGCAAAGGATAAGTAGGCCATTTTTGGAAACATTTTCTCATTATTTAGTAAATGTGATGATCCACACACCCTATGACACACTAAATCCACCCCTAGGGATGTGCCCTAGAAAAACTCTTGCCCACGTGTGCACCAGGAGACAAGAATGTCGGAGCAAAAACCTGCAAGCAATTGAATGTCTGTTGACAATGGTTGTTTCATATAACAAAATATAACACACCAGGACAAATGGATGAACTAAAGTTACAGGCAATCCATATGCATTAATTTCACAAATAATGTTGGGTGGGAAAAGCAGATTGCAGAAGAAAATGTATGTATACTGTTTATGTAAAGCTAAAAAAATCAGCACAGAGCTGAGCCCAGTGGCTCATGCCTGTAATCCCAACACTTTGGGAGGCTGAGGCAGAAGGATAGCTTGAGGCCATGAGTTCAAGACAAGCCTGGGCAACATGATGAAATCCCATCTTCACAAAAAAACAAAAACCCCTAAGAAAAACAAAACATCTTAGACAAATGTATGTAATGCCTATGTCAAATTGTATTAAGTTGCTGACAAGGGAAAATAGTAAGAAAACAAAGGAGTGTGCCAGCTCCATGGAAAGTTGCTGCTGTGGATCTACAGGAAATACGCTGAGAGCCAGGTCTGGTCAAGAGCCAAGAGAGCTGCTGACAGCAAAGTGAGAGAGATCAGGCCTCAGAAAGGAAAAGAGAAAGTTGCCTGGCAAGTGAGAAGCAACTGGAATGCTCTGTAACATTCTCTATAAATCTCCAAGTACTCTCACTAGCAACATCTTAAAGTGTGTGTATTTTGGCCAAGCATGGCGGCTCACACTGTAATCCCAGAACTTCGGGAGGCCAAGGCAGGTGGATCACCTGAGGTCGGGAGGTCAAGACCAGCCTGACCAACGTGGAGAAACCCTGTCTCTAATAAAAATAAAAAATTAGCCGGCATGGTGGTACATGCCTTACATGCCTGTAATTCCAGCTATTTGGGAGGCTAAGGCAGGATAATTGCTTGATCCCGGGAGGTGGAGGTTACAGGGAGCTGAGATCGCGACATTGCACTTCAGCCTGGGAAACAAGAATGAAACTGTCTCAAAAAAATAAATAAAAGTGTATTTTTTTTTTTACTTTTATTTTATGTTAGGGAGTACATGTGAAGGTTTGTCACATGGGTAAATTCATGTCTGGAGGGTTTCCTGTACAGCTTATTTCAATACCCAGTCAATAGTTCTTTTCTGCTCCCCTCCCTCCTCCCACCCTCCAGCAGGCCCCGTCTTTGTGTTTATAAGTATTTAGCTCCCACTTAATAAGTGAGAGTATGCAGTATTTGATTTTCTTTTTCCTTTTTTTTTTCTTTTTGAGTCAGCGTCTTGCTCTGTCACCAGGCTGGAGTGCAGTGGCGTGATCTCGGCTCATTGCAACCTCTGCCTCCCAGGTTCAAGCAGTTCTCCTGCCTCAGCCTCCTGAGTAGCTGGGATTACAGGCATGCACCACCATGCCCGGCTAATTTTTGTATTTTTTGTAGAGACGGGGCTTCGCCATGTTGCTCAGTCTGGTCTCGAACTCCTGACTTCATGACCCACCTGCCTCGGCCTCCCAAAGTGCTGGGATTACAGGCATGAGCCACTGTGCCTGGCCTGGTATTTGGTTTTTTCTTCCTGCATTAGTTTGCTGAGGATAATGGCCTCCTGCTCCATCCATGTTCCCACAGAAGACATATCTTGTTCTTTTTTTTTTTAATTGATCTTGTTCTTCCTCTTTTTTTTTTTAATAGAGGTGGAGTGTCACCATGTTGGCCAGGTTGGTCTCGAACTCCTGACCTCAGGTGATCCACCCATCTCGGCCTCCCAAAGTATTGGGATTACAGATGTGAGCCACCACGCCTGGCCGATCTTGTTCTTTTTTATGGCTGCAAAATGTGCGGTTCTTTTTATTTGAGTGCAAAAAAGCATTACATTTAAAGCATAAATATTTGAAATGTATGGCAATTTTATAATTGTCATTTCTTTTTTTAGTATATCAGGAACCTCAAAAAGTAAAAAAAAAAAAGGAAGTGGCTTGTGCCTCCCTTGTCTTTGGAGCCACTCTCACTAGAACTTTAATTTTTTGTTTGGTACCCTCCTTTCATTGTTTGAATTTTTTTTTTTTTTTTTTTGAAATGGAGTCTTGCTCTGTCGACCAGGCTGGAGTACAGTGGTGAGATCTTGGCTCACTGCAACAGTGAATCACTTGAAGGAGAATTAATCGTTCAAGTGATTCTCCTGCCTCCCGAGTAGCTGGGATCACAGGCATGCACCACCACGCTCAGCTAATTTTGTATTTTTATTAGAGACAGGGTTTGTCTATGTTGGTCAGGCTGGTCTTGAACTCCCGACCTCAGGTGATC